AACAAACAAACACAAAAAAAAAAAAAGGGGGGGGAGAGAGGAATTTTTTTTCAAACCCAAAAACCCCTCTTGGCCCCAACCCTAAACAGGTTTTTAACAAACAAGAAAAACAGTGCAACAATTAGTATACAAGCTGAAAAATACATCATACGAGCATGATACGTGTCTAACTACTGTTAAGTAAAACACTCACAGGGGTGTACATAATGCTGTATGCCCTATGAACAAAACAACTGCATAATTATATGTACACTTGTGCCTAAATTGTTAATCAAAATATGACTGAATAAGGGCGAAATGGTGTTAATGATTTGGGCAACAAATGTAAAATGTGAGATTTCCTTCCACATTATAATGATTAATACCTAAACCTTTATGGAGATGGTAAAGAGAAGAGAGTATATACTAGCTACCTAGTACTAACCCAGCTGTCTCGAGAGGCGGCTCTCTCCATTATGGAGATGGTAAAGAGAAGAGAGTACTAGCTACCTGTAGTACCAACCCAGCTGTCTCTCGAGGCGGCTCTCTCCATTATGGAGATGGTAAAGAGAAGAGAGTACTAGCTACCTGTAGTACCAACCCAGCTGTCTCTCGAGGCGGCTCTCTCCATTATGGAGATGGTAAAGAGAAGAGAGTACTAGCTACCTGTAGTACCAACCCAGCTGTCTCTCGAGGCGGCTCTCTCCATTATGGAGATGGTAAAGAGAAGAGAGTACTAGTAGCTTACTAACCCAGCTGTCTCGAGAGGCGGCTCTCTCCATTATGGAGATGGTAAAGAGAAGAGAGTACTAGTACTAACCCAGCTGTCTCGTGTGGCAGCTCTCTCCAGCAGTTTCTGCTGGAGAGTCTCGCCAATTCCTCCAGGTCTACCAAACTCCTCCACACGTCTCTTGGTCTCCGACAGCTCCTCCTCTGTCAGCAGAGGCTGTGGTGAAATAATCATAGACCTCTGAATGCATGTACTTAATGTATAGCACTTTTGACCACAGCTCTCATACATAGCCATGCACCAAGTTACAAAGATCGTCACGGCCTATGTGTGTGCACTTGTCTACAAGATGCAGGAGGCGGGTTTTACTCATTATGTCATTAGTCCACTTAGTAATGAAAAAGCACTGAAGTGCAAACCCTCGGCGAACTGCGCTTGCGCGATACCGCTAATTGATGGGCTGGGCCGTAGTATAGTATGCGTTTACTCGCGGTCTCCCGCTAGTAGCACACGGAGAGTCTGACACGGGCTAGCTACAGTAGTAGATAGCATGCGGGAGTCGATACACGCCCTTCGTTGTGACGTCTTGTGCCTCCAAGGTACGCAGATCAAGCACATCTTGTCGAGGTAAGCCCGTGCTAATTTGCATATTGGCTTGTTCACTTGCTTTTCACGCCATAACTTTTGAACGCTGTGTTTTTACGAAAATCGCCAGTTTTAAAATGAAGCAAATGTAGCGCCGAACCCGTTGCTGTAGAGTTTTGGCGATCTTGTTGCGTCTAGTGGCAGAAAACGTGAACGGACACACAGACACACAAACCAAGTACAGTAACCCTCGCTGCGCATGCGCGCCGAGGGTTAATAATGACCACAAACATTCATGGTGGGAAGACTGTCAAAACGAGACAAGCGCAAAGCCACCATATGCGCAGTAATAATGGCGTTCTCTTGAAATGGGTGCAGGCGGACCAGAAACCGGTATACAACTTGGAGTGGCCTAATCACTACCCCTCTTAAGAAGACCCCTGAAATGAGGATAACCCCCGAAATAAGGACACCTTACTAATATGCACACTTTGCTTCGTCCCATTGCTGCCGGATTAGAAGACACACTTTTTACTTCAAGGTGTACTGACTGACAATCCACCAACCATGCACCGAGCTCTGACCTCAACACTGGCAATATACTTGTCCAGCGTCTGCTGCAGAGATGGCACGGGCAGCTTCGTGAGCTGGTCCCTGAACTTGTGCATCTGTCCTCTCTGGAACCTGTCTCTCCACTCGGGAGGGAGGAGAGGGAACTCCAGCTTTGGCCCGTGGTGGCCATGTCTTCTGGGTTGAGACTGCCGCTGGCTCATCGTGGTAGACAGTGGTGGAGTTCTGGTTGCTACTGACGCTGGGTACAACTAAAGTGGCAACGTTCAATCAAGGGAGATACTAGTCTGTTCTCCTCCAATTATAGTAGCTAGTTACTAAATGCGTAGCTAAGCCTGTAAAGAACCCTAGGGCAACACGAATGCTGAGATGCTGAAAGGTGGAGGCAGGGATACAAATATCCTTCCACTGGGAGCCAGTTAGAGATAGACTGGTTTACCTTGCTGAAACACCAGGGACTGTTGAGTAGCCGCCTCACGCAAAGAGAGGTCATCGTTCGTTTACACAGCCACGGAACACACACCCCCAAAAGGTGAAAAACTCGAAGGTCAAAGATCATTCTAATAGACGCGCACCCAATATTTTGGCGGGCGGTTGAAAAGCCAGTTCCTTCTTCGACTCTAGTTTGTGGTGAGGAGAGATGGCTGATTATCCGTCTCCCCACGGAGGCTCGAGCTCTGACGTTTCCGTGGACGAGCTGAACGCCTCCATAAGAGAGCAAGTTCACGCTGCAGTCTCCAGGTCCGTTCAGGGAGCGCGCTAGCCGTACCTAAGTTATGACAACCTCTGGGGCTGTCGTATTCGCAAGGTTTTTTTTACGGTGACCAATGGCGCAAGCATTTATTGGGACACAGACAGATGGTTTTATAGAGTGGTCGCTATATATAGACAGGTTTAACTGTACTGACCTCTGCTGCAGGTTTGCGGATGTACTGGCAGCAGAGCAGAGCGAGACTGAGCTACTGGAGCCATGTGAGCTGGAGGGCAGGCAGAGCGAGCTTCAGAGGCTGGAGGAAGAGAGGAAGAACTATGAAGGGCAGCTTCTGAGGTTGGGGGCTTTCAAGGAGATTGTCAGGTGGTGTGTGTACGTGTGTGTGTGTGTGTGATAGGTTGCAGGAAGAGGTGGATTTGATGGAGGACGAGATGAGGAGGAGAGAGGAAGGAGGGGGAGAGGTCCTGACTGACAAAGACATGGAGAAGGCACTGTAAACAAACACAAATAGTCACCGAGAGTGCATGAGTCAAAAGGGAGGCGCAGTTCAGTTACCCTAAGGTTACGTAATGTGCAACACTTTGTTTTCCGAGGGGCTCAAAGCTACTGTGAATGTAATGGAAAATTTTTCTTGTCACAGTTAGGGTCATAAAAGGCGTGGAATATCCTTTATGTTGTACAGGTTTGGAATTGCTCGGTCTAGCAAGGAAGAGAGCGAGGGAGAAATGGCTACAGCTTCCAGAGAACACGAGAGAGTCGTTAGAAATCTCAAGGCTCGAGTAAGTTCTTGAAATATCGCCTGTATGCTCTTTGACTTTACTACATTTTGTCTTAGATAAAATTAAACGAGGCTTTCAATGGCATACAGTTCTCTTCAGCTGAGTGGGAAATAGCGGCTAAAGGTAGTGTTACTGAAGTACGACTGCTGTTAGTTTTTTAAACATTTGGTCCATTTGACTATAGATGAAACTAGCCTCCATCGGAAGCACATTCACACTGGCTCCGCCCACGGGTTCCTGTTTCATGTGGAGTATCTCGTGAAGGAAGATAAGGCAAGATTCCTCCGTTTATTGTGAGAATGATGCAAAATGGAACTTTGGGGAGGAGGGAGGGAGGAAATCATTAGCGGTTTATAAGCCGCCAAACAAAGTTTTCCCTGCAAATTTTGTGATCACGGACACGCCGTTTTGCAGGGATAAGTTGTTTTAACTTTCCAGCCAAATGAATATACTCTATTTATGGCCCTCTCTCTCCAGCAGAGCAGTGAAGGTGCCAAAGACGGTGAGTCTCCGTCTGTGCTGGCCAGGATCGTGGCTCTGTCAGTCTCCGTTGAGCCAACCTCCGAAAACGACCTCCAACCTTTCATTTCAAGGTCTGTTGCAGGGTGTGTGTGCTGTGGTGTTAATGACGATTGATATTTTTTTTTATAATCGCAGGGTTAGTGTTGATTTTGATCTGATGAAATTCTATCAGACGTACGTGAAGTATGCCATTCTGGTCAACGAGAGACGAGATTCTTACGCCACTGCAAAAGTATACCGCCTTTCCCCACACTATAACTTGTATACAGTAATATATATATACCTCCGAAAAAGAACCATTTAGAGTCCGCGCATGGACCAATCAGATTGCGCGATTTAAATTACCCAGCTCTAAAACTTGTATACAGTAATATATACACCTCCGAAAAAGAACCATCTGAATAAAGATCACCTCTCTATAAAGGGCACTTGGCTCTGATACTTTTTTCAGTGTTCCGTGTCCCTTATTCAGAGGTTTCACTGTAAAATATGCTGCTAAATTATATATACCAGTTATATACCCACCACTGTATATATACAGTCAAAGTATGGGGCCAGTGTTAGAGTGCCAGATGGACCGGACAGAACTAGACTCAACTACAGAATGAAAGCAGGGTACGTGTAGCGCTAGTGAGGTCTGAGGTCACCCGGTGAAGAATTCTATCCGTTTCATGTCTGAATTCGAGAAGTACGGGCACTGCACATATATATTATGTTATACTTGATTCTAAATATGCACAAAACACGCAAAATGCTTGCTTCACTCTCCAAAAAAACAGGTTGCATTCCTCAGTATGACTTGGTCGGTTATAGAAATTGCTTGTTGTATATATTCTCTATTTGTAGACTGTCCCTGTTCTTCTCTTGGACTGTGTCTGTCTCTGAGAGAGGGTTTGTTGACAGCTCACTCGGTCTGCAAGTGAAATCTCACCGAGAAGGTATATAACTACAGTGGAACCTCCGAACAAGGGACACTATGGGGGAAAGGTTGTAGAGGTCAAATAATACACTCAAGTATTGGCATGGGGTTGAAACAAGTGTCCTTTGTAGAGAGGTCGTCCCTATCTCGGAGGTCAAATAATACACTTAAGTATTGGCATGGGGTTGAAACAAGCGTCCTTTGTAGAGAGGTCGTCCCTATCTTGGAGGGTCCCTTATTGGAGGTTCCACTTCAGTTGAACGTGCTATATACACAATTGCCTCTTGTTCTCATTCAGTGTCAGACGAGGACAGAGAGACGGTCAGTCACCTTCCCCTTCTCCTGCAGAAGATGATTCAGACTCGGGGCCACAGAAAGGCCCTCGCGTCTGTTTTAGCTCTCCTCCAACCAAACCCAGTGACCTCTTGATTGCCATGACTGTGCAATATATTCCACACATGCGTGTAACGCTAGAGACACGTGTCAGCCGCTCCCGGCAACAAGTTAGTGCAAGAAAACCTGGTTGCTTTCGCTCTTAATGTGCATGCTTTTCATGCCACTTGTTTATTTCTCACAAGAAGGCAAGTATGCCACTAATATCCCAAAATCCTCATTAAAATCTCTGCTCTTTAATGATCTTTAACATTTTTATAGTCACATACACCTTTAAATGAGAAATACAATAAAGACATGTGAAAGTTGGACACTGATAATTAAGAGTGAATGTTTTCATTAAAAACTGACGGAAATTGAACAATAATCATAATATTATACACTCACATGAACGGATAAATACTGCTTTTTGCCATCAAATAATATTGCTGAACAATGACAGATCACAATAATTACCACTTCCACAATCATTCAAGCGGGGAGGTATCGTTGCTGTGTTCGTGGTCTGCTGGCTGGGGTGGACTAACTATGAACAACCCTCTGCGCTCTGGCACTGGGTTTTATCTCATTGGAGAATGTCCATAATTCCTATTGGTGCAGGAAAGAGAGGGAGACAGACTGGCTTAATTCCTGGAAAATTTAGCTTTGAACGTACAGTATTGAGCATAATTGGCGAGCGTTTGCCAACAATGTTCAACATTCTTCTAGTATACAGGTCAGTTTAGCGTAGTGTCAATGAGAGTTGGAAATTTTGCTCGAGTAATAGGCTGCTGCATACATTACGTAATAATAATTGACTGTTCAAACTTACTTCGTCTGATGCAAAGTCCTCGAAATTTGAGAAGAGACTTAGAATGTCAGGATTTGGGTCGAAATTGTACTGCCTGGAGTGTAAGAAAGTAAAGATCCAAGTGTTCCAAAGAAACATGCCATTTTAGCTAGAGATTGTATTACAATAAGTTCACGAAGGAGCTACTATAGTATTTGGGGGCGTACTTGGTTTGTGCGAATCGTATGTGGTCGACTGATTTGAACTGTTTCCATCTCTTGGTGAAGTTTACACTGACGCCATCTTCCAGTAGCTTTGGCTGCATCTCGATGAACGTCAGGTCCTGCAAATACAACCCTCTGGACAAGAGGGGAGGGAGAGGGGGGAGATAGGTAAGAGGGGAGGTAGGTAAGATGGGAGGGAGAGGGGGAGGTGGTCAAGACATTTCGTAGGGAACCCTTGTTAAAAGGTAACAGATAATACTTTTTGTGATTTAAAGAATCCAGAGAACGTGTAAAAGTCTGCAATGTGTATGTGTACAGTTGGTTGCACCTATTGCTCTGGTGCATGCAGTCTAGTGCAATTGAATAAAACTTGTCGCAGTGTGTATGTCTCCACTCACATGTAAGGTATGCACGGAGGCTTAGCTCTGGCAAATGCCTCTCTGTAGTTCTTGAAGGAGCCCTTGTTGTCGATAAGAGCCCGGGGCTCTTCCAAGCTCTTGATGACTCTGTCTGGCCAGTCCAGGCGACTGACTGGCGATGACTCAATGGCCGACAGGATGGCCAGATAAGAGTTGAAGTTGTTGAAAATATCTCGCAGAGCCTGGCGAGTTGAGGAGGAAAAAAAAGTTGAAAACCCTTTTCAATGTCATAAACCCCGCCTAAGCACGTATGTACTTATTGACTATTTCTTCCGCTGACGGGTAATGTGTCTGGCTACCATGTTATATCAATACATACACTTTCATTTTTACAATACTATTGTATAGAAGTGTGTGTGTGTGAGAAGGGTATATATACCTTCATGATTCCGACAAAGTGGATTACGACTTTCACTCTAACTCTCATATCCACGCCTCTCTCCAGTATCCTAGTCTTGGTCCTGGACAGAGACAGAGACCGCACATAGAGAACTAGTACCAGTGTACACATAATTATTATGCGTTTGGTCTAAAGCCAGATTCACACTGCAGCAGGAGCCAGTGATGCAATGTGACGTTGAATAGAGAACTAGTACCAGTGTACACATAATTATTATACGTTCGGTCTAAAGCCAGATTCACACTGCAGCAGGAGCCAGTGATGCAATGTGACGTTGAATAGAGAACTAGTACCAGTGTACACATAATTATTATACGTTCGGTCTAAAGCCAGATTCACACTGCAGCAGGAGCCAGTGATGCAATGTGACGTTGATGTTAAAAGAATCTTGTGAACATAACTACAGAATATTATTCTCCGTGACACCACACGGAATAGTTGTTCCCTTGACATCACGACAGGTCTGGCCGTACCACATCATGCTGGGCTCCAGCGACTAAGTATTAAGCTATAGAACTGGGAAGAGTACATACCCATCCCTATATACTAAGTACACTACCGTACTGAGTGATGTGTACATACCATTGCGAGACGTTGTTGAAGTGCATGGTGAAATGTGTGAGCATTGGACTCTTCTCCTCATTCTGCTCCTTAGCCCAGTACAGCATCTCAGACACCTTCAAGCACAAGTAGAGAGAGGGAGGGAGGGGAGGGAGGGAGAGAGAGGTGTAAGTTAAATCTAAGAAAGGTTATACAGTATGTCACAGCAATAAGTGTGCAACACATTTGGAGTGTGTTTTTTAAGACCACTTTCCCATTTTGCACCACACACATAGACAAGTGATGAGTTTTGTTGGGAGAAGGGGACAGAGAGGAGCGAGGAGAGGAGAGAGAGGAGAGAGAGAGAGATGTAGCAGTAAGGATGTTTTCAGGGGGTGTAGTGAGGTTGTGAGTTGCTTACGTCGACTTTCTGGAAGAGTTCGTTGTCCAGAACAGTCATTTGCCGGGCAATCTCCTCGGGGCTGAAGTCCGTCACTGCAAACTTGCGACTGTAGCAACAGATGACACGTGTAGTGTGTGAGGGACAGCCAGAGAAGAAGTGAGATCCCAAGCAGGTGTATTTTTGCTTACACGTGTAGTACCGTCATATTTTTGAAAAAAACCTCAAAATTAATCCTTTGGTTTACTGTGCCACTCAAGCCTGGCTGACGGCATTTGTTTGTTTAATGATTTGCAAAAGGTTTTAGTTGTAGGTACACATGACACTAGGTTACTGACCCATACATTTCTAATGGGAAGTATGGTGTACAGTGGTAGGGACCCTCCGAGACCTCTCTACAAAGGACACTTGTTTCAACCCTATGCTTATTATTTGACCTCCGAGATAGGGACGACCTCTCTACAAGGGTTGGCCCCATAGTGTCCCTTGTTTGCAGGTTCCACTGTATTAGCTAGGGTTATAGTTACACGTGCATACTGGTATATGTACAGGTTGTGATGCTGTTGAGTAGACTCACTTTGACTTGAATCCGGGTCCCACAAGTGGAGCAGTTTTGGTGTTGACAGGAATCAACTGATTCAACTGTAGACAGACGAAAAACAAACCATAATGCATACACCTCCAGTGACACTCATACATTGACCACATGTCCTCTCTCTCGTGAGGCCATCAGTGCAAGACAACTTGTGGCATGCAAGCAAAATGTTTCCCATTCATGAATACCCAACATTAGTAATACACGTGTACTATATACCCCTCTTTGGACATTTTGCATGGTGCAACTTTTGTTGCAAGCAAAAAAGTTGACCATGTAGGTTTCGTTGGAACATGTTGCTACGGTACAATTAGAAGCCGTTTTAATTTCTGGCCATTTTGTCACTACAAGTTGTCTAGTGTATGATGGCCTATTGTGCGTGTGTGTGTGTGTGTGTGTCTGTGTGCATGTGTGCGTACGTGTGTGTACCGACCTTGGTGACTAGGGCATTACGGAGGAGCTGTGCAAACTTGAGGTTTCCGTCCGAGAGCATCTGGTGGACCATTTCAATGAGTCTCACCTCGGCCTCTTGGACCAGAGGTTGACTGCAGTGGGGGAGAGAGCATGACAATCATTCAGAAGTTCATGAAAACATTTACAGGGAAATCTGGAATACAAAAAAACCTTCCAAACGGGACAAAAATAAACACGACTTTTTGAAAAACGACTTCCAAAGGGCCAACAAAATTAATGCTACTAACCCTGGACCGTTTACTTACACATTAGTTAGAAGTTAGGTATATACCACATTTGAGGGATATGTGAGGGGTTACTAAGGCGCTCGGCGTTGGTAGTAGGGAATATATATGCACTAACTTGAGATTGTTGAGAAGACGGACCAACAAACTGATGGTGGCTGTCCACACCGGCTTGTTGCCCTGCTTGTAGAAATGGTACAACCTGCAATACGATGGATGGACACATTGTACACAATCACCAAACAACAACAACAAACAAACAACAACACAAACCGGTAATCACACTCAACGCAACAAATTGTCACCGCTCAACGATTCTCCGGAGGAACCGACGCCAAGCTTATACTACCACATGTGTGTGTACATAATAAGGTTAAATACTCGACGATCTGGCAGTACGTGTGTGTAAGGGGGCAGAGAGGCAGCACACATGCACACATACACTACATACGTTGTACGTACCGAGAGAGAAGTTTAGAGATGAGTTTCTCTGGAGTGATGAATGTGTAGTAGGTCAGTAGGAAGGCTTCAGTGAACTGCTTGACTGTGGAACACAGCAAAACACACATATCAGTTGGAAAACTCAAAGAGGACACTCATATGATACACATACTCTGCAACATCATATAGGTATACTGTATATACACACCGGCACTAGTGGTGGAGGCAGCATATGCGATGAGAGCATCCAGTGGACCTCCTCTGAGTGTGTATCCGCCATCCTGAGGAACACACGTACAGTACATACAACAACCTTATAACACAAGCTATCCATGCCAGCACTTATGTGGTTAAAGGAAATGTGGCACAATGGCTAAATTTAGAAATGTTACTAAAGATAGAACAAAAGGGGCACAGTGGAAGAATGCAATTAACTTCCATTTTAGTAACATTTCTAAATTTAGCCTAATATACTACCACATTCCCTTTAAATGACACACAATACATGTATATATATAATATATATAGTAGACCAACAGCCTAGTATATACATGAATGTGCATAGTGCACATTTTGTATGGTGTTTGTAAAAATAAAAGGCAAACAAAGTAAAAAAAAACAGAGGGAAATGTATGGTATATGCATGTGCGATGATAGGTGAACTGAGGATATATATATATGAAGCAAGTGTGTGTGTGGTGATGGGTGGACTTATTAATACCTCCTCCTTGTGGAAGATAAGAGAGCCCGAAGTGTCCTCAAGCTCCAGGTAGTTGATGTCCTCAGCATCTGTGTCATCCCTGTACGCAGATAGAGGGGGTCAAGGGTAATCGTTTTTCACACCCACACGAGGTTTTGCAACATTCTCAAGCTTGAACCAAGTGATGTGTATAATGTTAGCAGCAAGTACAGTGATACTGACTAGTGTTCCGGTGGGCCAGGCTCAATATGTGTGTATGTGTCGATATAGAGGTTAGTCGCAGCTTTGTAAGGAGACTTAACTTTCCAAAGGGTTGCATGTGCTAATACGCAAGAGGACAACTTCCCCAGTTTATCCATGTTTTATACAGCGTCTCTGTCTCTGGGGACTTCTAGAGGCATGTACGATATGTGGACATGCTGTGTTTTCAAACATGCATTGTGAATTTGAAAGTGTTGTGGTGAAAGCCATTGAAAATTTAGGACAAAGGTGGCATGCCTCTGGCTTAGTAAGGCAAAAGCCTTGCAAAACAACACGAACATGTAACAAACAACAGGTAGCTTTCGGCGGTGGGTAATCCTCCTGCTTCATCCTTCCCTCCCTCCTCTCCTATCTCTCTTCCTCCCTTCCCTCTTCTTTCCATCTCTCTCTCTCTCTCTTTCCCTCCCTCTCCCCTCTCTCTTACGCCAGGTCCTCAACGCTGGAGGCCACAGAAGACCGCTGGTCATCGCTGGAGCTCCTTTTGTCGACCCCTGACCCTCCCGAGTGCTCGTCCCTCCTGCGCCCAACAGACGGCACCTGGAGACATACACAACACATACACATCTGGTGTTTGCGATCCAAAGAAAACTATAACCAGTTTCTGTCTAAACAGCCGTTCACAAACCCTATACACACACATTACTCAGCAGAAAGTCCGTGTTTTAGCATTGCTGTCCCTTGCCAATAGCATTCTATATGCAGGGCTCTAATTCACAGAAAATATCCGATCAGATTGACTAATAAGCGCGCGAATAGAGCATATGTACTTGCCATTATCAAGTACACCAGATACATAATGTAATACAGTGGGACCCGCTCTTTACAAGGACAACCCTGAAAAGAACCCTTCACTATATACCATCCTCTGTCCCATTGCTGGATGGGTTAGTGGGGTTACATAAGCCAACGTACAAAGAGTTTCACGGCATATGGAGGCCTATAGGTACGGACCTGTCTTCGACTCTTTCTCTTCTTTGGAGGCAGGGCAGGTGGCCCACACTCGGCCATGGGGATGTAGAGAGGCTGCATCAGCGTGTCGTCGAAATGGTAACCCTTCACTATCTCCTTGTACAACATGACTGCAGTGAAGGAGGGAGAGATGGAGGGTTGAAGTAAGGCAAAATAAAGAGTTAGGCGGCATGAATAGTGGGGGAGGAAGAGATGGAAGAAGAGAGGTAGGAGGATAGAATGAAACATGAGAGAGCTACAGAGGGGGGAAACATAATATTGGAGAAGAAGAGAGGGAGAGAAGGGAGGTGGAGAATGAAGGAGTTTAAGAAGGACAGAGAGAAGAAGGGAGAACGTAGAGAGTGAGAGAGAGAGGGTGCCTAAACCCCACTTACCAGTCTTCTTCTTCAGAGGGATGGGTGGCGCTTTTTCCTCTCCCCCCGTTTCTGCTTGCCCCTTCATCAGGTCCTCGTTGTATCTCCTCACGGCACGAATGGCGGATACCACTTCGTTACTGGTGGGCTGTGGCTAATAAGAAAAACAACCGTCATTATCTCACTACAGTCTCTAAGGAACCCCTGCAAATGGACACACCCAGCTAACAGGGAACCACAGCAGTTTTTTCATGCATTTTGCGATGAAAAAAGGACACCTTACACTTCCTTTGGTGTCTGGATTACAGGGGCTTCTACTTCAATTACTACTCGTGCCATTCTCCCAATAAAGTTTTTGGCTATGTGGTGTATATGCGGTTGATGCAATGGGACATACCAGTTGGTCCATGGAAGCAGGTCGGTCAGAGCGAGGAGGTTTGGGGGGCGCGGCCTCGTTGTGCAGGGCTCCACGTGGGATGATGGAATCCAGTCTCACTGGTACCATCGGAGGTCGGTCCCCCTCTGGAGGTACACATCACGTGACAATCATGTGACACACGCAAAAGAATACAACGACATACACATCTTGTGACATAAGCATTAGCAGTACATATGCAGTATGCCTATGTAGCTAACCAACAAGTTTAGATTGTAAAATGACTGTTGGTCCTCTCGAGTTGCTATTTTCGCAGGAAACATACTCAACCTGCTAGCATGTCTGTAATACAAGTAAATACATAGTGATAGAGACATATCCTTTTTGCCCCACCACATCAGCTCATAAGGACTAGGACCAACCTATACAAAGTCCAGCAAGACTACAATAGAGACACAAACCATTCTGAGAGTCACTGAGAAGCGAACTCGAACTCTTTGACTTGGAATGACGGCTGTTGCTGTGGCTCCACCTCAGTTTGCCTCTCAGCTGAGCCATTTTACCACCACCTCGATATCCTCCTTCAACCACCCTTCTCTATCTACCCTTTCCTATCCAACCTTCCACTATAGCAGTCTCTTTCTACACTACCTATATATACTCCCTACTCCATAGAGGGCTCAAACACAGCAAGTGACTAAAGGGTATGTTAGACTGCCGTATTTATGCTCCAACATGAAAGGAAAAGAGCTTGTGTTTAGCAACATGCATGGTTTGTACTAGTATACGTGCACACACCTGCATTGCTTCTGGCAGTTTCAATTATCCCATAAAGCAGGCAGCATAAGTAAAGTCTTACAAACTCCTGTGTGGGATGATAATGTATTAAGATTCTATCAAGTCACTGTACGAGTTCGGGGTAATTGGTGAGAACGTGTGAAGTTTTTTGTAATTGTTCAATTTACTGCCTTCTTCTATCTCTTCGACAACTCCCCACCCTTTGCATCCTCTCCCTACTTCTTACCATCCTCCATCACATTCCTCCCTTTCTCTTTAGCCTCTCCTCTCTCCTCTCCTTCTCCCTCTCTCCTCTTTCTCTCCTTCCCTCCCTCTCTATATACCTTCTTTCTCTCTCTCTATATACCTTCTTCCTCTCTCCTCTTTCTCTCCTTCTCTCCATCTCTCCCTTCTTCCTCTCTCCTCTTTCTCTCCTTCTCTCCATCTCTACCTTCTTCCTCTCTCCTCTTTCTCTCCTTCCCTCCCTCTCTACCTCCTATCTCACTCCCTCCTTTCTCTCCTCCCCCTCCCCCTCCCCCTCCCCCTCCCTCCTCTCACTCACCACTGCTGCTAGAGTGCGACGGGCTGGGTCCAGGGGTGGAGGTCGGAGGAGAGGTGGTGCCAACTCCTTTTCTTTGTTTCATTGGCAGCGGAGGAGGTACATCGTCATAGTTTTCTCTCCTTATAGGAGGCTGAGGGGGAGGACAAAGAGAAGATAATGAGAGAATTAAGGCTGGACGGATGGAACAAGGAGGGAAAATTTACATATAGTGATCGTCATTACATCGCTGTGTGTAAGGCAGTGTTGTGTGGATCGTCATTGCATCGCTGTGTGTAAGGCAGTGTTGTGTGGATCGTCATTACAATCGCTGTGTGTAAGGCAGTGTTGTGTGGATCGTCATTGCATCGCTGTGTGTAAGGCAGTGTTTGTGTGAAGATGTGTGTTATTAAATCTACCCTTGGAGGTTGGCCGTTGACCTGTTGGTTCCTGTTGATTTGAGAAAGAAAGGGCAAACCTTATATGCACACTTCGACATTTTTCAGACACTTAACCCTCGGCACGTAAGAAAGCGAGGGTTACAGCACTTGGTCTGTGTGTGTGTGTCGATTTGTCGCGGCTATTCCTGCACTACAACTACATGGGCGGTCTATGAGTGGTCTATGAGCGATACCAGGCAACCGGTACCATATGTGCGAAACATCACAACATCCTACATGCTATAGAACATAACTTTGTGAACAGCTGAGGCTTACAGCAGAGAGAGTTACATACAGCTGGACTCACACTCTCTTCTTCTGTTTGACAGGCAGTGGAGGAGGCATGTCGTCACCGTGACCCAGAGCCGAGCGTGATGGCCGGGAGTCTCGGCTCAGGGGACCAGCGACCGTTCACCTTTGGACTCTCTGACGCTCCTCCTGGTATAATGGAGAGAGAATGTGGCTCAGCATGATACGTATTAACATGTTGAGACTAGATTCACAGCGTTGCATTGCTTTCTCTGCAAAGATAGAAATGGATTTATGCTCGCGATGAGTCTTTGAAGAAAGGACAAATCGGTGGAGACCCCAAATCCATTCGATAACGTTAGAGCCTACAAAAAGTTCTGGATAAACTTTGGTAGATATGAGAGAGAGAGAGAGAGAGAGAGAGAGGGGGGAGAGCTCACGAGGCATGGTGTGTCCTCTCCTGTCCTGGGGATAGCCAGCAGCCGTTCTCCGCCACTGAAACCAAGACAACCAATCATCATCAAACGTACACAGAACATAGCTAATGGTAAGGGTGTCTGATTCTTTGGACAATGATTCATAGCTAAAACTCTAGTTTGATTTGCTCGAAAACTCTAGTCAGATTTGCTCAAAAACTCTTGCCAGTACAGTGACTTTTCCTCTTCAATGCAGCATGCAGTAAAGGAAAGAGTTTAGGAGGGTTTAGCCATGTAGTAGGCTTTCCTGTCTTACTAGAGTATTGGGGTAGAAGAATGCAGTAAAACTCTCTCACGTGGCATGAGGCTCCCAGGCAGAGGTGGCAGGAGGGACCTGTCCATGTCGGTGAGTGCCCCCGCGGGGGGTGCGGTGAGGGTGTGGGAGGGGAGGTGATGGGGTGAGGGTGTCGGGTGGCGGGGATCGGGATGGGAGGGGGCGGCGAAAGGTATCAGTCTGACTCCGTTTCCTACCGTTCCACTCACCACTCTGTGTAATACAATGGCAGACAAACACTCAGACCACAGCCTCTAACAGGTTTTACACCAGTCGGTCTAACAGTTTTTATTTACCGGAGCATGCAATCTCATTGGACGATACACAGATCTCTAAATCTCTTAGAGCTATATTCCAGACTCTAAGTAAGAGTTTATGGACTTTAAACTTAGTACATGTGCATGTGTTACGCCATGAGCTTAGCCCTGTCAGATATCTCACCATACATTGCTATTGTGTATGTGTCTCTACATGGTACATACACATGTATGTTGGTTATGACGACGCCTTTCTCTCCCTTTTCTACATTATATCACACATTGAAATCTGAACTGAAATCTGAACTTTTGAACTGTATTGAACTGACTATGCTTACACATGCACATGGCTCTGTACACGTGTTATGGGTGTATGACTTCCCACTACATGTATGTACAATCAATAGGCGAAGTACATGTCCATATGCCACAAACAGCACCCACACAACATGTGTCTGCATACACAAGCCTTACCTTTGATCACAACACCTTAGCTTTACACCTTCTCTAGAAACCAGCCTTCACTTGCACTTCTCTAGCTACACTTGTCTAGCTACACTCTGACAATACCGAGAACCTTTCTACCAGTTTCAACACTACTCACACGCACTGCAGCCTTCATTTCTAAGCTTAGAACGCTCAACTGTTGCTCCCAGTTCAACGTATAGACCACGTGTGTATATATGTATGTATATACCCTCTCATAGAGCTGGTACTGGAGCGCTATATGAGCATATGCAAGAGGTGTGTGAATGTATCGGTAGAGGAGGTTGTGTGTTAGAGGTGAATGGGCGGTGAAAGGAGAGCTGTTTTCAGTCCAGACAAGCACAGTGAGAGGGCAGTTTGAGTCGTGTTAGCAGACGAACACGCGAGCATTGCAGAGCCAACGAAACCGCACGTACCTATACATTGTACACTTGTACAACCCATAATAATGTGTAAGGTATAATATTGTCTGTCAGACATATACCAGCAACACCACTGTACAATTATAAACACCTTTACATTTCTATGATCCCACCGTTCCATATGCACATGAAGAGTGCAAGAGATCCCAGCAAGAGGTATACATGTGGCATCGTAGCTACACCTAACTCAGTGACCAACTTATGAAACTAACTGTGGTAATAGAGAGAATTCATTCAGCCTGTCCATTTGAGAAATCCCGGCCTATTGCATGCACCTTGTGGAAGATATCTTTTGTCAATGGCTCTTTCACAAACCTCGAGGTTTTCCACCACACTAACGGGTTATCATCTGCTGCTCTTATTACGTAATCTTACATAAGAACTGCCACCTCACCATGGTGAGGTCGTGTCTGTCTGGGGAGACTCGGTCTGTTGAGCCCATCGTCTCTTCTCCTCGTCAGACGTGCTGCTCTCATACAACATGGAGCCGAGGATTCTCGTCCCGTCGGGGGCTTCCCCATACCAGCCGGAGTCCCCCTGTGCGTGTCATAGGGTTATGTAATGATGATGTAATTAGGTACGAAGACAACAGGTTTCATTCAGCTAGAGGAATAGGTGTACATTTTCTTTGAGGAGGAGAGATGTTTATGTGAAGAACACAGGTATATAAGAATTGTAGGGCCTTCTTATATTATGGAAGATACCTCATTTTGAATGTTCTGGTCGAAAAGGCACACTATGTACATGCAATAATTATACTGCTTTCAACAATGTCCATTTGCTTTAGCTGCTTCTATCTCTTCCCCTCTCTCTCTCCTGCTCTCCTCTCCCCCTGCTCACTTGCAATGGGCTGCGTGGAGACGATGGCAGACTGATCTTCCGGTCTCTCCCTCCTCCCTCCACCTTGAGGGTGGAGATCTGGGGGAGGGAGGCCGGTTCCAGGTGACCCAGCGCACCTGTCGAGTTGGACGAACCCAGCGATGACCTGGAAGGGGTGAGAATATACATATTATATGTGTGTAGATATTACATAAATATGGGGCAAAAGAGAAGAGAGGAGGGATAGGAGTGTTAGTGTTAGTACTTGCAAAAAGATGGGTGAAAGAGAGAGAGAGGAGGGAGAGGAGGTGTTAGTACTTGCAAAAGATGGGTGTGAAATAGAGGGAGATGGATGGATGAGGAGGGTTAGTACTTGTAAAAGATATGGCAAAAGAGAGGGAGAGAGATGGGACATATTAGAACACACACACCCTGTGTGTTAGAGCACTATTTTAAGGTTTGTGTATGAAATGTGTTGAGTATGAAAGGCGTATGGTGGTATAGGAGTCTCACCTCCTCTGTCTCTGGACAGTGTCAGAGAAAGTTCCGGAAGATCCAGACAGCTGCATTTGAGTGTCTTCCACCAACTTTACCAGTTCCTGGGGTCAAGGGAGTGGAGGGGGAGACAGAGAGAGAGAGAGAGGAGAGGGAGACAGAGGTGTTAAAAAGCTACATAGGGCAGCATCATAATGCATGTGGTTATGTCCCATGATGCGCGTGTAACATCAATGTTGGGTAAAAATTACACCTTTCGCGAACATTGTCAAATTCCTGCAGCTCACACACCAAAATGTCTCTGCATTCTATACTCAACCTTTGAACCCATCCTGAGGCTCTGCCAAGTATGTAGCGGATGTGTGGGTACACGGAGAGTGTGGGCCAATGTAAGCAGTGTGGCACCTGGGCAGCCAAGGCATGCAGTAACACGTCTCGTTTCAAGAGACCATGTAGTGACGAGCATTCCGTGGTAACCACCAGGAATGCGCAGTGTAATACGGGAATGCCGAGCACGGAACCACAACTTCCATTAGCCTCGGTTTTGACCTGCGAGTCAGGCAAGGCAGGGTTTAAGCGTTGTTGCTAGTGCATGGGGCTTTACACTTTGATGTGAGCACTTTAAGATGTGTGGTGACTGTGCACGTGCAGAGAGACCACAATTTTAGCAGGACTAAGGAGAGCATTCTAAACTATGAGCCTGTGACCCCAGCGAGGTAAGAGAAAGGTCGGCACAACACGTATGTGCATAAGCACAGCAAAGAGCCTTTTTACTCTACCGAGCTGATTGTCGAAGGGAACACACTCATGTTATAGTGGCCAATCCACCTTTCAAAACAAGGTCTCACAAGACTTGGGGACTTGGACCTGAAACTGATATGCTTTACTCTAGTATACAGGCTGATCTTTAAGGCTAGAAAATTTCGACGCTCACATAATATTATGTGCAATAATAAAACAGTCATTCCAAAAAACCGTAAGCTTGTTTTACTCACAATTATCTCTGGGGCTCAAGTATTTTGTGTGCTAGTGTGATTTGCGAATAGAAATGTCAAACGCATAATTTTAAAAAATGCACAATTTTTGTTAAAACTTTCGATTGATTGCAGGTCTCAAATTTTGTAAAACTTTCGATTGATTGCAGGTCTCACCCCGAGGGCAGTTTCGAACTCCTGGATCCAGTTCCGACCAGTTTCCCCGCTGGCCGTGGAGCTCATTGGAGGAGATCTGGAGTCAAGTCGGCCCACTTGACCACCTTTGCCCACGTTGACGTAGAGGATCCTCTCACACACGTCCATCCTGGTCTTCACCCTGTCATGTGCGGTGTCAGTGCAGCAGCAGTGATGATAGCTCATGTCAAAGATGAGTGACATACATACCGTATAGTGTGGTACATAATGGTAATTTTGGTAATTCACTTCGAATCTTATGAAATCAATTTTCATTTGGTTTTGTAATGTTCTCCTCGCCAGTCAGCGAGCGAGGCACACTAAAATCAAATTTCATTGAAAAACATAGAATATCGTAATCTTGCAAGTTGCAATGTATATGTTTTAGGAAAGCAACTAAAGGAAGCCTAAAAAGGAGATGATACATAGAGGGAGGGGTCTGGAGGATGGATGTGTAGGGGTGTGTAAGGTATAATGTTGCCCTAGTGTAACAAGGAGGGGAGGGAAGATGGTGGGTAGGTTAGACAGTGAGAGAGAGAGAGAGGGAGGAGAGAGATGCCAAGGCCAGGTGTAGCGGTATACCAAGGACAAACTGGCACAGTACCACCTGAAACATGAACCACTCCAATACTCCAGCCATTCTAACGAGGAGCACACACACACAGACAATGAAACTCTGGCACACACCCCATAGGACCAGCCAAAGCTTCTGGAACAATCTACATACTCCGAGGTGTGGTCAGTCTCTAAACACACACTTGTGGACACTTTACTAGGCAACAGGGCATGAGGTGCATTGTATGTAAAGACAGCAGAGAGCCCACAGAGAGCCCAGGTGAGGCCAGTCTAGCACTAGCCAAGTCTAATGAAGCTGTATCTTATCTATTAGACTCTAAGAAAGATAACAAGACCCTAGCTGGTTGAAGAAAGGTGGAAGTTCACTCTGGTATCACTAAGGACCCACTACGGCTAGAGAGGGCATGTCCCTCTCCAGTTCGAAATGCTCAGAGGCTTTCCGGGAACCTCTTCCGTTTCAAAGTCGGCAATCAGAGGAGACATTTGGCGTATACACATGCAACATAATGACACTAGAGTTGCGTGATATAGAGCTAAAACTACGGCTGCCACCTGAGTATTATTATTACAACAACCTGTGCATACCCGTCAAATTTCTCTAGGACCTCAGAAGTGAGGAAGTGATGTGTGGTGGTGATGGCGCTGTCAATCTGGATGAGGAGGACTGTGGTCACCTGGGAGAGGTTGAAGGTTGTCCCGTTGTTTACTGCAGCTACAGTGTGTGTGTGTGTGTGTGTGTGTGGGGAGGGGGAGGGGGTGAGAAGTAGGAAGAAAAAAGAAAGAAGGAAGAAGAAGGGAGGGGAGAGAAGTATTGACATGATATGTGTTTGCCAATGAATCACAAAACACCGTAAAACCTCAGAAGAATGTTCATGACATGAACACCAAAATGACATGCATTGCCCTATCACTAAGTATGGTAGTACTTAGTAGTATATAGGGATGACACAGGTTGTCCTGCATTATGCCCATACATTTGAGATTCACAGGTTTCACTTTCATATAAACAAATGTGTCCCTGCCTGCTGCATACATTTTCAAGACAGTCCTCAAACTGAAACACAAAAGGCTTCCTCCTCAATCTTACGGTGTCTTAGAAAAGAAACGTGTGCTGGTTTTTTAAACCATGCGCAGAAGAGAGAGAAACGTAACGATGGCCGACTCACAATTGATCATCTGCATATGAACACCGATACTCCTCTGATGCTGCACCAACTTTATATACAGTCCATCAGTACCTCCCTGAGAAACAATGGACATTACGTCGTAATGATGTCATCGACTAAATGAACGTAATTATGTACCTTGGGACCGCTGATGTCCTGACCAGGGAGGTTCCTTGTCTTGTCCTTTGTGGATTTTGAAGACTTTTTGTCTTTCCTGCGAGAAATGGTACAAGTGAACATCTTTTGTAGTGGGCACACCAATCCACTGTATAAAGGATATAGTTTTAATCAGTACTTAAGCATACTGTAACCTACGAATAAAGGACAACTCTTTGTTAAAGGACACATGTGGCCTTTACTTGGGTGTTGATTGAAAAAGATGGGAGGGGAACGACATCGATTTTGAAGAATGTAAAAAGGAGAGAAAGGGGACAGTCAAATATTGAGAAACTTACTTTTTAGTCATTGTCTTGACAATATCTATTGGGAAAGAGAGAGGGAAGGGGGAGGAGGTGGAGAGAACAGAATACATCTCAGTGGCAATATTTACATTGCAGTTTTATAAGCTTGCGGTAGGTTCACGTATCATGCCAGGTAAAGGTAACTGAAGTTATCGCTGCATTAGAATAAATCCCATGTACTGTACTGTATGTAACTGGATCAGATTGCGTGTGTCTCGGGGCGAGCTGCAGGAGGTGTCAGCTGGCGGAAGCGTAGTGGAGGTAGTCTGCGATAGCGAGACAGACACCTCCTGTTCATATGCGTGTATGTTCGTTTGTTAACGGTGCCGCCCATTGCTACTGGGTGCGTGGTCTAGGGCCCCTAGGGCTATGCAACCACCTGAGTATATACTGTATGTAACGAGTTCTCGCGTTGCATTAGATGAAGTTCCCAGAGTACGTCTGTACACAGGAGTTATCGCTGCATTACGTCTGTAACAACGCCCCTTTACAGGTAAATATTGTACGTATATATGTATACGAACAGTCCCAAGGGTGTTGTAATAGTGGTTATCACTCTGGTATTAGGAAATCCCCAACACAGTGATGTAAGGACAGTATCACTGGTAGGAGTCTAGTGGGGGGAGACCTGCCTACTTGTATATATACGAGTTGCCAGTTTTGATATGGCTCCAGTATCGTGTTCCAAGAACTCCATATAAGTGTATGTGCACAAGCTGTCGGATGCCACAAGTGAGGTCATAATACACTGCAGACTATAGTCAATAAAGGCAGTGTATGTATTACGTGTGTATGCATTGTATATACAGCATATTACGGTATGTGCAGTGCCTGACGCGTTCAGATGACTAGGGAGGCTGGCTTTGCTCGCCAGTAAGTAATCCCAGAACAATAGCTATTTATTACATCATTACGGACACTTAATGACTTAATTTCCAGGGATATGCTACGTCAACTCGATTTAATTGCAAATCCAAACATCATCAAATTCTATGGGGTCATGATAGGTGGGATTAATAGGGAGCAGATTAGCTGGCCAAATATGGTAGTCCCCACTGGTGGGAAGCTGAACTGACTAGAGAACACTAATCTAACGTGGATCCAATTGCATTATAATGTGGTCACCACACAGGGCCATACATACACTTATGTGTGTTAAAATCATTATCGTAACATTATGCACGGCTTACTACTAATTATACATACATATACTCAGTCCACAGTGCATAGTATGCCACAACACTACAATGGCATTACAAGGGCGTGTGTGTGATTCAACATGAATGAGTAACCAATTTCTTACCTTGCAGTACCATTGTACATAGGACTGCAGAATGGCAGTGCTGCAGAACAAGGGAGTAGACTATACACACTCGTGGTTCACTTCTATAGCCACAGCCCAATGATACACCTGTATCTACTTTCAACTGTACTAGTAACACAAAAGACTTAGGGCTCACAGAGCTTTATCCTACACTTACTACAGCTCACTCTGATACTAAACTGACACCAGAGCAGTGAGCTGCTACATAAGTATGTCACACACACGCCCACTATATTATAGCGAGCCATGACATCATCTTACAGTACGGCTTGTATTTATAGGAAACCCTCCCCGAGTGACATATTTGTGAACATTCCTGGGAACTTGGCAGCCAGGCCGGCTGCGTGAAATGCAGAATGTACTGCTGGCAACACAAGACAACAACACCTGTGTGCAGTAGTATAGCCCCAATGTTTCACTGGTGTAAGTGGAAGTTAGTAGTCCACTGCGAACACTTTGGCAATTGTTTGTTTACACGTGGTGGCAAATGGTGCAATAGTCCCTTCTCTCTATTTCCTCTTCCTTCTCCCCCTCCCTCTCCTTTTCCCCCCTCCCCCACTCTTTCCTCCCTCTTCCTTCTCCCCCTCCCTCTCCTTTCCCCACCTCCCCCCTCTTTCCTCCCTCTTCCTTCTCTCTCCTCTTCTCCTTCCCTCTTCCTTTCTCATATCTTGTTTGCCCATTATTTTGCATTTTCCCCACCAAACTAGCTTATATAAACAAACAGCTCTTTCCTCAATTGCAACCACAATTGCAACCACAATTGCATGGTGACATTGACATGTGTGCAAGAGGCCCCAAATAACATAATGTGTAGATTAAACCAGAACAAACATTACCAACATTGACAGGTAATCACAACAATAGAAACACCACTGACTGCAAACTATAGCCCTTCCACCAACAAACCCCTTCGGCCAGCTTCTTGCTCAACCACACATGCTGTACATGTGCTCACTCCTCACGTTTATGCAGTAATACGTATGTCACTGACTAGACATGTAAGTGCCCTACCAACCACCCCATCATAGTCCCATACATCTCAGATTCTATTCAAGCATTCATACTATGTACAGCATGTTAGCGACAATGTCCTGATATCAGAGGCAAACCCGTCCTAAAAAGCTATACAGTCGAACTACGATAATATGAACTCCAGGGGACCATCACAAAATGTTAACATTAAAAGGACTAGTTGTATCAGTGTTATAATGCCTGGGGATATCAAAGTGGTTCGTATTAAGCAGGGATTTCGCTTTAACAGTGTTTGTATTAACGAGGTTCCACTGTACCATACACGCCCTAATAAACAGCTTGTCCTGATTTCTGAAGCTTACCGTAAACAGCTTCATGTCCTGATTTCATAGTACAAGCCACACAGTCACACACTAGTACATACATATGTAATAGCTGTGTTAAGTCTGTGAGACTCTAGCTGTGAATACCTGAGGTCAAACCATGGCTCAGCCTTCTCCCTCGAGAGTAACCTTTGTCGAGAATCCTTAGCTCGTTCAGAGACATTGCATCCCTTTTTCTCACTCCACTGCGCTCTAACTCTGTTTTAATTTTTTACTCTGACGTATGAAAGCACTGGTTTTCTGCCTCTCTCTCAGATCAAACACTAGCTACGGCTACACTACTTTGAACAAGACTCTGTGCTATAGTGCACCGAAAGTGCAACCGATTGCTAGTGCGAAATACTTCGAACTCTCGAAATCGATAGAGTTACAGCACACACACACACACACACACACACACACACACACTGACTGACTGTAGAAATGTACACTGGAATCTACAAAGCAGCACTGAAGTGTGACAGAAGATACAGTTGCTATATATATAATATGAAGAGCTAGAGACAATGAGGATTGTATCACATGACCACATAGCTCAACTTCCAGAGACAATAGAGGGGCCTTTAGCAGTGGGATTCATTATACTGTACTGCTGAGCTATCACAACTGGGATTGAAAGAGCATCTTGAGCTACCCTAACTCTTAGATGATTTAGTTTTTGCATGGAGCAGGAGGGCAAACTAACAGCAAGGCGCAGGGCTAGCCGCTAATATACAGCATTTGCCTGCACATAATAAAGTGTACTGCATACAAACATACACTAACATTGTACTGCGTGTGTAATAGATATCGTACTATACAACCAATAGAGCTGTTATTTGAATACACTTACTTAATTATCTTTTGGCATGGGCAAACACAGGAGACAGGGAGAAAGAGAGAGTGCGAAAGATTTAAATCCACAGCGCTGTAAACCGCACACTGGAGGCAGCAAATCTCTTTTTTAATGCAATAGTCAAGTGTCACTCAGGTCCGAGGCTAACTAGGTTGCCGTGAATGCCTAAATTGGTCTGTTAGCACCATTGGTTCCTGGTGCGGGACATAAACAGTGCCAAAAGTTTACCCAGTCAAAGGACGCTGTCCTATGCCAGCATGTATGTAAGTTCCTTTACAAGGTCACCGTAATACTAGAGGTACTGCAGCCAGTGCTCCTGCCCTTGCTACATATGGTCATCAGCCCAGGAGGGTCTGAGGCTACCATATATATCCCCACAGCTGCATAGGGCCAACATTGGCTTGGCAGATGAGTAGGGTACACCGGCAGCTGCCTACTGTCCAGACTCATTCAAACCCTCTTTCTCCTCCTCTCTCTCTTCCCTCCCGCATTGGGTTACAAGCCATGGGGGCTACATCTGAGCATGCAAGTTAGCAACTCAGAATAAAGTGTACACCTCAAAAACACGGACAACACAGATGTAATACACAGAGACATGTATATACATAGATACATACATTAGTGTACATAAGGCACCGTATGCAGTAAGCTGTACTACAACTATGTATGTACAACGTAGTCCACAGTCATGTGACCGCCATAGTACATATACTCCAGGACTGCACCGCTAAATACTGTGGGATGGATAGCGAGACTGGCGGCACCAAAACTACTCTGTGGAAATTACTCCACGTATTATCTCAGGAATGCCGAGAATGTGCCAAATTAACTCTGCAAGTATATACACCTTACGCACACCGAAGCACAACTAACGAACCAAAACAGTCCTCCGCCTACCTGCAGCGACAGCTCCAAATCTCGAGGGACTACGAGAATTAGTCGCTACGAACAGAAGAGACGAAACTAGTGCTACAACAGACACAGCACTAACGATGGTCTTCACTAGAGAGCCACGAAACGTGCCAAACCTAAGAACAGAGACTCACATAACATCTGAAGAATGCATGAAAGAAGAGATGACGATGAACAGAACTCCCATCATAGCCCCCATACATCTATATATGCCACTATAGGTACATACTTTGCCCATTTCTATGTACACTGTACATGGCAATCTAACGTTCTCATGGCATGAAATAGTTACGTAACGGCGGGTAATGTACGGTCTAGCGAGACTGGTCTGTACGCACACAGGACGTGGGGGTAAAGACAAACATCCCAAGTATTTGTGTAGAGGAGCTAAAATAGACAGGACAAGGAAGCTGTTGTTTGCTCAGGGCAACTCCAGATGCTTTCACTTCCATCCATATGCTGGACTGGTCATATAACCTGCCACTGCTCTGGCCTCAACGGACAAACGGTTAGGTTTGTTAATCTCACATCTGCCTACGGTCCTGTTAGTTGCCACAGTTCACTGCTTCAAAAACCTGTGGATCTGTACTGTCAATGACCCATGTCCCCATGTGTTCTCACACACACACACACACACAACAAAGGCGGACACAGTATGTTACCGGTGGCCTTCTTGAAAGTTTTGTGAGGAGCCCTGGGCAAAGTACAGTAGTGCATACTGTTACTGGACTGCATCTTTCCTCTCTATCTCCTTCAACAACCAGCAAACTCTCTCTATCTCTGTATCTACTTCCACAGATGGGCCAAATCTTTACTAAATCCTAAGCCAGCAAATTTACTAATCTATATAACACCCTCTGGAACTACGTTTGTCTGAGCTACAGTTTCCACGAACTGAACTGCTGGGGACCCAACTGCTCACAGGCTGACAGACTAGGCTGACTGCTGGACCCAACTGACTAGGCTGACTGCTGGACCCAACTGCTCACAGGCTGACAGACTAGGCTGACTGCTGGGCCCAACTGCTCACAGGCTGACAGTCTAGGCTGACTGCTGGACCCAACTGACTAGGCTGACTGCTGGGACCCAACTGCTCACAGGCTGACAGACTAGGCTGACTGCTGGACCCAACTGACTAGGCTGACTGCTGGGCCCAACTGCTCACAGGCTGACAGTCTAGGCTGACTGCTTACACTGGCAGGCGTAACAAACTTACACCAGCACACATCTGACATTTCTGATGTCTTTGAACACAGTACTATACTACGCGACACGACGCATCATAGAGTCGACCTAGTAACATTTGTCCACCTATTCAACCCTGCGCCACATCAGCTTTTGTCGAAGGTTTGTTCACTGCACGCACAACACACACACACACACCCACATTAACTGTCTACATGCATGCAACGACTGTGTTACTGTGTCGCTATAGCGGCAGCTATTGACGTTGCCGTGGGTGGGCTCTGCGTGCATACAACACCAAATGGGCGCATTAGGTGCTCTGTTAAAGTGAACCATTTGTCTCGGAACCATTCGCGTCACCTCTTTTCTCAAGTTCAATCTGAGTACAGTACTGTAGTCAATAGTGTGTACTGTGAGGGTGTAAGTAGGAAAGCGATACTTGTACAACTTTCCATAGGCAAAATGTGTATGTCTTTATCTGGGGTTAGTGAGTATATATACGTTCTATCAGGACTGGAACACAACCAAATGCTCCACAGCAGAGGGTATGATTATCCTGGTCCAGTGGTACTATATGCAGTGATGTACTCCTTGGGATTAGGAGAGGTAAAGGGGTTAAGAGGCCGCTTTGTTTTGTTGTCCAGTTAACATTGAAACTTTGCATTAGCACTCAATTTACCTCTAAATTGGTGGGACACTATGTTACGCATACCTGAATTGCATTGCAGAGACCCTTACATACTTATCCGTCGGCCTCCTCCTTTGCAGTGTAAAGAAGTTGTCCACATACAAAGTAGCTCTGGCCGCAGCAGTCACTCGTGGGCCAGAACTTGGCACCGACCTCACTCCTTGTAAAGTCTTTACCGAGAGCTAGCCTCCTAATCCGACTTGTCACAGTACAAAAACAAGGAGGGACGGGTCAGCCCCCCTCTCAACATGCCATAATTGCTTTGTTCAGTGCGCCCAAACATTCGAGTTGTGTTTCCTGACATTAATTCCATTCGCTATAATAATAGTTTTTGTAAAGCAAACACACTTCTACAGCTGCACATGTGTGTGTGTATATGTGAGTTACTGAAAGTTTGTATACATGCAAATGCATGGCTCCGCCCACACACTACGCTCTGTTACAAGTGACACAAATCGGGACGAGATGAGTGATCACACGTGTGCCGTCGTGCCACACACAGCGCCCTGTGCTATACACTGCGAGGGTTGGAACTGGAATGTTCACATTCTCAACTGCCACACATCGTCTGAGAAACACAGTTACGCTAGCCTCGTTTACCATGCCATAACCTGCTATACAGCACGTTGCTATAATATGGTCAAATTTCCACCGGCACACAGTTTGCATACTGTATTAGCCTTATTGTTAGGCATTCAGGACATCTCCAGGAACTGTGTTGCAACACACAGCTACTGCGGAACTCACACATTAGTGGGCAAGGCCTTGAGGCCCCCAACTAGTATGACATCATCTAGCACACACTGGCTTTCCTAATGAGCTCAATACCTGGAAAAGACATCAACAGTATGCACTAGCATACCAATAATTCAGAGAGAACATATTGATAGTCAAGGTATCAAGTATCAAATCTCCTACAGAGCTGTATGGGACAAATATTTAATTGACCTCTTATTGGAATGAGTGGGCCAATCATTGTCTATTATCCTTCATCTAACCAGGGTACTACAGTTCCTTATTTCTCCACATGAACATTGTTTTATTTTCCTTGAAAACTCAGAAATGATTAGCCATCAAGCACGAAGTTCCTCCCTCCACTATAACATTCTATATATATACCAGCAGTAGGTAGAGCCATCACCATGGTACACAATGAGTAGCCTTGGGCACCAGATGCATTTCGCCAAGCAGTCCCTGGCACTCGACTACCCACCAATAGCAATAATTATGTGTGTGTGTGTGCATAAGACTACAGTAGCTATGTATGACTTTCATATACAGTTGGTTGGTGAACTTATCAGCCCAAACACAGTGTGTAACAAATGACTGCCAGACAATGCTACACACCTAGCTATCAATATGGCATACTGAAATGGCAATGTATCATACACAAGCAAAATAAAGGGGAAACTCTTCTTTTCCTCTTCTTCTCTTTTATCTACCGCAGACAAAATGTTTTAGCTAGTTCCTTGTGGTGGTTTTGTACACTCACAAACAATTAATTAGCAAAGCCCCTGAGATTGTACGCGTATACCATGGCCGCAGACCGAACTACGCGGGCGCCACCGAGAAAGGACTGGTCCGCTGAATCGTTGGTCGCACCGAGGATCGCACATGGACACACCCGCTCGTTTTACGCACAGAAAACCGTGTAGCTAAACGTGTCTCCAAATTTATTGCCTGGTTGTGCATTAGGTGACAAGTGACCACATGCAAACTCACACACACACACATACACACACTACACACGAGTGAACTCACTCACTGGCGGCTTTGTCCATACAAGATCGTTCGCCTGCTGTGCGAGTTCACTCGTGTAGTAGTGTGTGTATGTGTGTGTGTGTGAGTTTGCATGTGGTCACTTGTCACCTAATGCACAACCAGGCAATAAATTTGTAGGCACGTTTTAGCTACACGGTTTTTGTGCGTAAAACGAGCGGGTGTGTCCATGTGCGATCCTCGCGGTGCGACCAACGATTCAGCGGACCGGTCCTTTCTCGGTGTCGCCCGCGTAGTTCGGTCTGCGGCCGTGCTATACGCGTACAATCTCAGGGGCTGTGCCAATTAATTGTACAAAACCACCACAAGGAACTAGCTAACAACATTTTGTCTGTGGTAGATAAAAGAGAAGAAGAGGAAAAGAAGAGTTTCCCCTTTATTTTGCTTGTGTATGATACATTGCCATTTCAGTATGCCATATTGATAGCTAGGTATGTAGCATTGTCTGGCAGTCATTTGTGTTTGGGCTGATAAGTTCACCAACCAACTGTACATGAAAGTCACTCATATACATAGCTACTGTAGTCTTATGCACACACACACACAATTATTGCTATTGGTGGGTAGTCGAGTGCCAGGGACTGCTTGGCGAAATGCATCTGGTGCCCAAGGCTACTCATTGTGTACCATGGTGATGGCTCTACCTACTGTATGATAATGGCTGCCTGTGCTGGTATATATATAGAATGTTATAGTGGAGGGAGGAACTTCGTGCTTGATGGCTAATCATTTCTGAGTTTTCACGGAAAATAAAACAATGTTCATGTGGAGAAATAAGGAACTGTAGTACCCCTGGTTAGATGAAGGATAATAGACAATGATTGGCCCACTCATTCCAGTAAGAGGTCAATTAAATATTTGTCCCATACAGCTCTGTAGGAGATTTGATACTTGATACCTTGACTATCAATATGTTCTCTCTGAATGTATTGGTATGCTAGTGCATACTGTTGAATGTCTTTTCCAGGTATTGAGCTCATTAGGAAGCCATAGTGTGTGCTAGATGATGTCATACTAGTTGGGGGCCTCAAGGCCTTGCCCACTAATGTGTGAGTTCCGCAGTAGTTGTGTTGCAACACAGTTCCCGGAGATGTCCTGAATGCCTAACAATAAGGCTAATACAGTATGCAAACTGTGTGATTTGACCATATTATAGCAACGTGCTGTATAGCAGGTTAAGGCATGGTAAACGAGGCTAGCGTAACTGTGTTTCTCAGACGATGTGTGGCAGTTGAGAATGTGAACATTCCAGTTCCAACCCTCGCAGGTGTATTAGCACAGGGCGCTGTGTGTGGCACGACGGCACACGTGTGATCACTCATCTCGTCCCGATTTGTGTCACTTGTAACAGAGCGTAGTGTGTGGGCGGAGCCATGCATTTGCATGTATACAAACTTTCAGTAACTCACTCACATACACACGCACACACATGTGCAGCTGTAGAAGTGTGTTTGCTTTACAAAAACTATTATTATAGCGAATGGAATTAATGTCAGGAAACACAACTCGAATGTTTGGGCGCACTGAACAAAGCAATTATGGCATGTTGAGAGGGGGGCTGACCCGTCCCTCCTTGTTTTGTACTGTGACAAAGTCGGATTAGGAGGCTAGCTCTCGGTAAAGACTTTACAAGGAGTGAGGTCGGTGCCAAGTTCTGGCCCACGAGGTGACTGCTGTGGCCAGAGCTACTTTGTATTGTGGACAACTTCTTTACACTGCAAAGGAGAGGCCGACGGATAAGTATGTAAGGGGTCTCTGCAATGCAATTCAAGGTATGGCGTAACATAGTGTCCCCACCAATTTAGAGTAAATTGAGTGCTAATGCAAAGTTTCAATGTTAACTGGACAACAAAACAAAGCGGCCTCTTTAACCCCTTTACCTCTCCTAATCCCAAGGAGTACATCACTGCATATAGTACCCTGACCAGGAATAATCATACCCTCTGCTGTGGAGCATTTGGTTGTGTTCCAGTCCTGATAGAACGTATATATACTCACTAACCCACAGATAAAAGTCATACACATTTTGCCTATGGAAAGTTGTACAAGTATCGCTTTCTACTTACACCCTCACAGTACACACTATTGACTACAGTACTGTACTCAGATTGAACTTGAGAAAAGAGGTGACGCGGAATGGTTCCGAGACAAATTGGTTCACTTCTAACAGAGCACCTAATGCGCCCATTTGGTGTTGTATGCACGCAGAGCCCACCCCACGGCAACGTCAATAGCTGCCGCTATAGCGACACAGTAAACACAGTCGTTGCATGCATGTAGACAGTTAATGTGGGTGTGTGTGTGTGTGTGTGCGTGCAGTGAAACAAAACCTTCGACAAAAGCTGATGTGGCGCAGGGTTGAATAGGTGGACAAATGTTACTAGGTCGACTCTATGATGCGTCGTGTCGCGTAGTATAGTACTGTGTTCAAAGACATCAGAAATGTCAGATGTGTGCTGGTGTAAGTTTGTTACGCCTGCCAGTGTAAGCAGTCAGCCTAGACTGTCAGCCTGTGAGCAGTTGGGCCCAGCAGTCAGCCTAGTCAGTTGGGTCCAGCAGTCAGCCTAGTCTGTCAGCCTGTGAGCAGTTGGGTCCCAGCAGTCAGCCTAGTCTGTCAGCCTGTGAGCAGTTGGGTCCCCAGCAGTTCAGTTCGTGGAAACTGTAGCTCAGACAAACGTAGTTCCAGAGGGTGTTATATAGATTTAGTAAATTTGCTGGCGTAGGATTTAGTAAAGATTTGGCCCATCTGTGGAAGTAGATACAGAGATAGAGAGAGTTTGCTGGTTGTTGAAGGAGATAGAGAGGAAAGATGCAGTCCAGTAACAGTATGCACTACCGTACTTTGCCCAGGGCTCCTCACAGAACTTTCAAGAAGGCCACCGGTAACATACTGTGTCCGCCTTTGTTGTGTGTGTGTGTGTGAACACATGGGGACATGGGTCATTGACAGTACAGATCCACAGGTTTTTGAAGCAGTGAACTGTGCAACTAACAAGACCGTAGGCAGATGTGTGAGATTAACTAAACCTAACCTTTTGTCCGTGAGGCCAGAGCAGTGGCCAGGTTTATATGACCAGTCCAGCATATGGATGGAAGTGAAAGCATCTGGAGTTGCCCTGAGCAAACAACAGCTTCCTTGTCCTGTCTATTTTAGCTCCTCTACACAAATACTTGGGATGTTTGTCTTTACCCCCACGTCCTGTGTGCGTACAGACCAGTCTCGCTAGACCGTACGTTACCCGCCGTTACGTAACTATTTCATGCCATGAGAACGTTAGATTGCCATGTACAGTGTACATAGAAATGGGCAAAGTATGTACCTATAGTGGCATAATATAGATGTATGGGGCTATGATAGGGAGTTCTGTTCATCGTCATCTCCTTCTTTTCATGCATTCTTCAGATTGTTATGTGAGTCTCTGTTCTTAGGTTTGGCACGTTTCGTGGCTCTCTAGTGAAGACCATCGTTAGTGCTGTGTCTGTTGTAGCACTAGTTTTTCGTCTGTTCTGTTCGTAGCGACTAATTCTCGTAGTCCCTCGAGATTTGGAGCTGTCGCTGAAGGTAGGCGGAGACTGTTTTTGGTTCGTTAGTTGTGCTTCGGTGCGTAAGGTGTATATACTTGCAGAGTTAATTTGGCACATTCTCGGCATTCCTGAGATAATACGTGGAGTAATTTCCACAAGAGTAGTTTTGGTGCCGCCAGTCTCGCTATCCATCCCACAGTATTTAGCGGTGCAGTCCTGGAGTATATGTACTATGGCGTTCACATGACTGTGTACTACAGTTGTACATAACATAGTTGTAGTACAGCTTACTGCATACGTTGCCTTATGTACACTAATGTATGTATCTATGTATATACATGTCTCTGTGTATATACATCTGTGTTGTCCGTGTTTTGAGGTGTACACTTTATTCTGAGTTGCTAACTTGCATGCTCAGATGTAGCCCCCATGGCCTTGTAACCCAATGCGGGAGGGAAAGAGAGAGAGGAGGGGAAAGAGGGTTTGAATGAGTCTGGACAGTAAGGCAGCCGCCGGTGTACCCTACTCATCTGCCAAGCCAATGTTGGCCCTAGTGCAGCTGTGGGGATATATATGGTAGCCTCAGACCCTCCTGGGCTGATGACCATATGTAGCAAGGGCAGGAGCACTGGCTGCAGTACCTCTAGTATTACGGTGACCTTGTAAAGGAACTTACATACATGCTGGCATAGGACAGCGTCCTTTGACTGGGTAACTTTTGGCACTGTTTATGTCCCGCACCAAGGAACCAATGGTGCTAACAGACCAATTTAGGCATTCACGGCAACCTTGTTAGCCTCGGACCTGAGTGACACTTGACTATTTGCATAAAAAAAGAGATTTGCTGCCTCCAGTGTGCGGTTTACAGCGCTGTGGATTTAAATCTTTCGCACTCTCTCTTTCTCCCTGTCTCCTTGTGTTTGCCCATGCCAAAAGATAATTAAGTAAGTGTTATTCAAATAACAGCTCTATTTGGTTGTATAGTACGATATCTATTACACACGCAGTACAATGTTAGTGTATGTTTGTATGCAGTACACTTTATTATGTGCAGGCAAATGCTGTATATTAGCGGCTAGCCCTGCGCCTTGCTGTTAGTTTGCCCTCCTGCTCCATGCAAAAACTAAATCATCTAAGAGTTAGGGTAGCTCAAGATGCTCTTTCAATCCCAGTTGTGATAGCTCAGCAGTACAGTATAATGAATCCCACTGCTAAAGGCCCCTCTATTGTCTCTGGAAGTTGAGCTATGTGGTCATGTGATACAATCCTCATTGTCTCTAGCTCTTCATATATATATATATAGCAACTGTATCTTCTGTCACACTTCAGTGCTGCTTTGTAGATTCCAGTGTACATTTCTACAGTCAGTCAGTGTGTGTGTGTGTGTGTGTGTGTGTGCTGTAACTCTATCGATTTCGAGAGTTCGAAGTATTTCGCACTAGCAATCGGTTGCACTTTCGGTGCACTATAGCACAGAGTCTTGTTCAAAGTAGTGTAGCCGTAGCTAGTGTTTGATCTGAGAGAGAGGCAGAAAACCAGTGCTTTCATACGTCAGAGTAAAAAAATAAAACAGAGTTAGAGCGCAGTGAGTGAGAAAAAGGGATGCAATGTCTCTGAACGAGCTAAAGGAATTCTCGACAAAGGTTTACTCTCGAGGGAGAAGGCTGAGCCATGGTTTGACCTCAGGTATTCACAGCTAGAGTCTCACAGACTTAACACAGCTATTACATATGTATGTACTAGTGTGTGACTGTGTGGCTTGTATATACTATGAATCAGGACATGAAGCTGTTTACGGTAAGCTTCAGAAATCAGGACAAGCTGTTTATTAGGGCGTGTATGGTACAGTGGAACCTCGTTAATACAAACACTGTTAAAGCGAAATCCCTGCTTAATACGAACCACTTTGAAATCCCCAGGCATTATAACACGGATACAACTAGTCCTTTTAATGTTAACATTTTGTGATGGTCCCCTGGAGTTCATATTATCGTAGTTCGACTGTATAGCTTTTTAGGACGGGTTTGCCTCTGATATCAGGACATTGTCGCTAACATGCTGTACATAGTATGAATGCTTGAATAGAATCTGAGATGTATGGGACTATGATGGGGTGGTTGGTAGGGCACTTACATGTCTAGTCAGTGACATACGTATTACTGCATAAACGTGAGGAGTGAGCACATGTACAGCATGTGTGGTTGAGCAAGAAGCTGGCCGAAGGGGTTTGTTGGTGGAAGGGCTATAGTTTGCAGTCAGTGGTGTTTCTATTGTTGTGATTACCTGTCAATGTTGGTAATGTTTGTTCTGGTTTAATCTACACATTATGTTATTTGGGGCCTCTTGCACACATGTCAATGTCACCATGCAATTGTGGTTGCAATTGTGGTTGCAATTGAGGAAAGAGCTGTTTGTTTATATAAGCTAGTTTGGTGGGGAAAATGCAAAATAATGGGCAAACAAGATATGAGAAAGGAAGAGGGAAGGAGAAGAGGAGAGAGAAGGAAGAGGGAGGAAAGAGGGGGGAGGTGGGGAAAGGAGAGGGAGGGGGAGAAGGAAGAGGGAGGAAAGAGTGGGGGAGGGGGGAAAAGGAGAGGGAGGGGGAGAAGGAAGAGGAAATAGAGAGAAGGGACTATTGCACCATTTGCCACCACGTGTAAACAAACAATTGCCAAAGTGTTCGCAGTGGACTACTAACTTCCACTTACACCAGTGAAACATTGGGGCTATACTACCGCACACAGGTGTTGTTGTCTTGTGTTGCCAGCAGTACATTCTGCATTTCACGCAGCCGGCCTGGCTGCCAAGTTCCCAGGAATGTTCACAAATATGTCACTCGGGGAGGGTTTCCTATCAATACAAGCCGTACTGTAAGATGATGTCATGGCTCGCTATAATATAGTGGGTGTGTGTGTGGCATACTTATGTATCAGCTCACTGCTCTGGTGTCAGTTTAGTATCAGAGTGAGCTGTAGTAAGTGTAGGATAAAGCTCTGTGAGCCCTAAGTCTTTTGTGTTACTAGTACAGTTGAAAGTAGATACAGGTGTATCATTGGGCTGTGGCTATAGAAGTGAACCACCGAGTGTGTATAGTCTACTCCCTTGTTCTGCAGCACTGCCATTCTGCAGTCCTATGTACAATGGTACTGCAAGGTAAGAAATTGGTTACTCATTCATGTTGAATCACACACACGCCCTTGTAATGCCATTGTAGTGTTGTGGCATACTATGCACTGTGGACTGAGTATATGTATGTATAATTAGTAGTAAGCAGTGCATAATGTTACGATAATGATTTTAACACACATAAGTGTATGTATGGCCCTGTGTGGTGACCACATTATGGATCCACGTTAATTAGTGTTCTCTAGTCAGTTCGGCTTCCCACCAGTGGGGACTACCATATTTGGCCAGCTAATCTGCTCCCTATTAATCCCACCTATATCATGACCCCATAGAATTTGATGATGTTTGGATTTGCAATTAAATCGAGTTGACGTAGCATATCCCTGGAAATTAAGTCATTAAGTGTCCGTAATGATGTAATAAATAGCTATTGTTCTGGGATTACTTACTGGCGAGCCTCCCTAGTCATCTGAACGCGTCAGGCACTGCACATACCGTAATATGCTGTATATACAATGCATACACACGTAATACATACACTGCCTTTATTGACTATAGTCTGCAGTGTATTATGACCTCACTTGTGGCATCCGACAGCTTGTGCACATACACTTATATGGAGTTCTTGGAACACGATACTGGAGCCATATCAAAACTGGCAACTTGTGTATATACAAGTAGGCAGGTCTCCCCCCACTAGACTCCTACCAGTGATACTGTCCTTACATCACTGTGTTGGGGATTTCCTAATACCAGAGTGATAACCACTATTACAACACCCTTGGGACTGTTCGTATATGTACAATATTTACCTGTAAAGGGGCGTTGTTACAGACGTAATGCAGCGATAACTCCAGTTACAACGGTACCTGGGACTTATTCTAATGCAGTAATAGCTTCAGTTACCATTACCTGGCATGATATGTGAACCTACCGCAAGCTTATAAAACTGCAATGTAAATATTGCCACTGAGATGTATTCTGTTCTCTCCACCTCCTCCCCCCCCCTCCCTCTCTCTTTCCCAATAGATATTGTCAAGACAATGACTAAAAAGTAAGTTTCTCAATATTTGACTGTCCCCTTTCTCTCCTTTTTACATTCTTCAAAATCGATGTCGTTCCCCTCCCATCTTTTTCAATCAACACCCAAGTAAAGGCCACATGTGTCCTTTAACAAAGAGTTGTCCTTTATTCGTAGGTTACAGTATGCTTAAGTACTGATTAAAACCATATCCTTTATACAGTGGATTGGTGTGCCCACTACAAAAGATGTTAACTTTTACCATTTCTCGCAGGAAAGACAAAAAGTCTTCAAAATCCACCAAGGACAAGACAAGGAACCTCCCTGGTCAGGACATCAGCGGTCCCAAGGTAATTACGTTCATTTAGTCGATTACATCATTACGACGTAATGTCCATTGTTTCTCAGGGAGGTACTGATGGACTGTATATAAAGTTGGTGCAGCATCAGAGGAGTATCGGTGTTCATATGCAGATGATCAATTGTGAGTCGGCCATCGTTACGTTTCTCTCTCTTCTGCGCATGGTTTAAAAAACCAGCACACGTTTCTTTTCCTAAGACACCGTAAGATTGAGGAGGAAGCCTTTTGTGTTTCAGTTTGAGGACTGTCTTGAAAATGTATGCAGCAGGCAGGGACACATTTGTTTATATGAAAGTGAAACCTGTGAATCTCAAATGTATGGGCATAATGCAGGACAACCTGTGTCATCCCTATATACTACTAAGTACTACCATACTTAGTGATAGGGCAATGCATGTCATTTTGGTGTTCATGTCATGAACATTCTTCTGAGGTTTTACGGTGTTTTGTGATTCATTGGCAAACACATATCATGTCAATACTTCTCTCCCCTCCCTTCTTCTTCCTTCTTTCTTTTTTCTTCCTACTTCTCACCCCCTCCCCCTCCCCACACACACACACACACACACACACTGTAGCTGCAGTAAACAACGGGACAACCTTCAACCTCTCCCAGGTGACCACAGTCCTCCTCATCCAGATTGACAGCGCCATCACCACCACACATCACTTCCTCACTTCTGAGGTCCTAGAGAAATTTGACGGGTATGCACAGTTGTTGTAATAATAATACTCAGGTGGCAGCCGTAGCTCTATATCACGCAACTCTAGTGTCATTATGTTTGCATGTGTATACTGCCAAATGTCTCCTCTGATTGCCGACTTTGAAACGGAAGAGGTTCCCGGAAAGCCTCTGAGCATTTCGAACTGGAGAAGGACATGCCCTCTCTAGCCGTAGTGGGTCCTTAGTGATACCAGAGTGAACTTCCACCTTTCTTCGACCAGCTAGGGTCTTGTTATCTTTCTTAGAGTCTAATAGATAAGATACAGCTTCCATTAGACTTGGCTAGTGCTAGACTGGCCTCACCTGGGCTCTCTGTGGGCTCTCTTGCTGTCTTTACATACAATGCACCTCATGCCCTGTTGCCTAGTAAAGTGTCCACAAGTGTGTGTTTAGAGACTGACCACACCTCAGGAGTATGTAGATTGTTCCAGAAGCTTTGGCTGGTCCTATGGGGTGTGTGCCAGAGTTTCATTGTCTGTGTGTGTGTGCTCCTCGTTAGAATGGCTGGAGTATTGGAGTGGTTCATGTTTCAGGTGGTACTGTTGCCATGTTTGTCCTTGGTATACCGCTACACCTGGCCTTGGCATCTCTCCTCCCTCTCTCTCTCTCTCACTGTCTAACCTTCCCACCATCTTCCCTCCCCTCCTTGTTACACTAGGGCAACATTATACCTTACACACCCCTACACATCCATCCTCCAGACCCCTCCCTCCTATGTATCATCTCCTTTTTTAGGCTTTCCTTTTAGTTGCTTTCCTAAAACATATACATTGCAACTTGCAAGATTACGATATTCTATGTTTTCAATGAAATTTGATTTTAGTGTGCCTCGCTCGCTGACTGGCAGAGAACATTACAAAAACCAAATGAAAATTGATTTCATAAGATTCGAAGTGAATTTACCAAAATTACCATTATGTACCCACTATACAGTATGTATGTCACTCATCTTTGACATGAGCTATCATCACTGCTTGCTGCACTGACACCGCACATGACAGGGTGAAGACCAGGATGGACGTGTGTGAGAGGATCCTCTACGTCAACGTGGCAAAGGTGGTCAAGTGGGCCGACTTTGACTCCAGATCTCCTCCAATGAGCTCCACGGCCAGCGGGAAACTGGTCCGGAACTGGATCCAGGAGTTCGAAACTGCCCTCGGGGTGAGACCTGCAATCAATCGAAAGTTTTTACAAAAATTTGAGACCTGCAATCAATCGAAAGTTTTAACAAAAATTGTGCATTTTTTAAAATTATGCGTGTGACATTTCTATTCGCGAATCAAATCACACTAGCACACAAAATACTTGAGCCCCAGAGATAATTGGTGAGTAAAACAAGCTTACGGTTTTTTGGAATGACTGTTTTTATTATTGCCACATAATATTATGTGAGCGTCGAAAATTTTCTAGCCTTAAAGATCAGCCTGTATACTAGAGTAAAGCATATCCAGTTTCAGGTCCAAGTCCCCAAGTCTTGTAGACCTTGTTTTTGAAAGGTGGATTGGCCACTATAACATTAGTGTGTTCCCTTCGACAATCAGCTCGGTAGAGTAAAAGGCTCTTTTGCTGTGCTTATGCACATACGTGTTGTGCCGACCTTTCTCTTACCTCGCTGGGTCACAGGCTCATAGTTTAGAATGCTCTCCTTAGTTCCTTGCTAAAATTGTGTGTCTCTCTGCACGTGCACAGTCACACACAGTCTTAAAGTGCTCACACTCAAAGTGTAAAGCCCCATGCACTAGCAACAACGCTTAAACCCTGCCTTGCCTGACCTCGCAGGGTCAAAACCGAGGCTAATGGAAGTTTGTGGTTCCGTGCGCGGCATTCCCGTATTACACTGCGCATTCCTGGTGGTTACCACGGAATGCTCGTCACTACATGGTCTCTTGAAACTAGACGTGTTACTGCATGCCTTGGCTGCCCAGGTGCCACACTGCTTACATTGGCCCACACTCTCCGTGTACCCACACATCCGCTACATACTTGGCAGAGCCTCAGGATTGGGTTCAAAGGTTGAGTATAGAATGCAGGACATTTTTGGTGTGTGAGCTGCAGGAAATTTGACAATGTTTCGCGAAAGGTGTAATTTTTACCCAACATTGATGTTACACGCGCATCATGGGACATCACCACATGCATTATGATGCTTGCCCTATGTAGCTTTTTAACACCTCTGTCTCCCTCTCCTCTCTCTCTCTCTCTGTCTCCCCCCTCCCTCCCTCTGACCCCAGGAACTGGTAAAGTTGGTGGAAGACACTCAAATGCAGCTGTCTGGATCTTCCGGAACTTTCTCTGACACTGTCCAGAGACAGAGGAGGTGAGACTCCTATACCACCATACGCCTTTCATACTCAACACATTTCATACACAAACCTTAAAATATTGCTCTAACACACAGGTGTGTGTGTGTTCCTAATATGTCCCCATCTCTCTCCCTCTCTTTTGCCCTATCTTTTTACAAGTACTAACCCTCCTCTCCCTCCCTCTCCCTCTCTTTCACCCCATCCTTTTGCAAGTACTAACCCTCCTCTCCCTCCCTCTCTTCTCTTTCACCCCATCTTTTTGCAAGTTACTAACACTAACCCTCCTCTCCCTCCCTCTCTTCTCTTTTGCCCCATATTTATGTAATTATCTACACACATATAATATGTATATTCTCACCCCCTTCCAGGTCATCGCTGGGTTCGTCCAACTCGACAGGTGCGCTGGGTCCCCTGGAACCGGCCTCCCTCCCCCAGATCTCCACCCTCAAGGTGGAGGGAGGAGGGAGAGACCGGAAGATCAGTCTGCCCATCGTCTCCACGCAGCCCATTGCAAGTGAGCAGGGGGAGAGAGAGGGGGGCAGGAGAGAGAGGGGAAGAGATAGAAGCAGCTAAAGCAATGGACATTGTGAAAGCAGTATAATTATTGCATGTACATAGTGTGCCTTTTTCGACCAGAACATTCAAAATGAGGTATCTTCCATAATATAAGAAGGCCCTACAATTCCTTATATACCCTGTGTTCTTCACATAAACATCTCTCCTCCTCAAAGAAAATGTACACCTATTCCTCTAGCTGTTGAATGAAAACCTGTTGTCTTCGTACCTATATTACATCATCATTACATAACCCTATTGACACGCACAGGGGGACTCCCGGCTGGTATGGGGAAGCCCCCGACGGGACGAGAATCCCTCGGCTCCATGTTGTCTGAGAGCAGCACGTCTGACGAGGAGAAGAGACGATCGGGCTCAACAGACCGAGTCTCCCCAGACAGACACGACCTCACCATGGTGAGGTGGCGGTTCTTATGTAAGATTACGTAATAAGAGCAGCAGATGTAACCCGTTATGTGTGGTGGAAAACCTCGAGGTTTGTGAAAGAGCCATTGACAAAGATATCTTCCACAAGGTGCATGCAATAGGCCGGGATTTCTCAAATGGACAGGCTGAATGAATTCTCTCTATTACCACAGTTAGTTTCATAAGTTGGTCACTGAGTTAGGTGTAGCCTACGATGCACATGTATACCTCTTGCTGGGATCTCTTGCACTCTTCATGTGCATATGGAACGGTGGGATCATAGAAATGTAAAGGTGTTTATAATTGTACAGTGGTGTTGCTGGTATATGTCTGACAGACAATTATTATACCTTTACACATTATTATGGGTTGTACAAGTGTACAATGTATAGGTACGTGCGGTTTCGTTGGCTCTGCAATGCTCGCGTGTTCGTCTGCTAACACGACTCAAACTGCCCTCTCACTGTGCTTGTCTGGACTGAAAACAGCTCTCCTTTCACCGCCATTCACCTCTAACACACAACCTCCTCTACCGATACATTCACACACCTCTTGCATATGCTCATATAGCGCTCCAGTACCAGCTCTATGAGAGGGTATATACATACATATATACACACGTGGTCTATACGTTGAACTGGGAGCAACAGTTGAGCGTTCTAAGCTTAGAAATGAAGGCTGCAGTGCGTGTGAGTAGTGTTGAAACTGGTAGAAAGGTTCTCAGTATTGTCAGAGTGTAGCTAGACAAGTGTAGCTAGAGAAGTGCAAGTGAAGGCTGGTTTCTAGAGAAGGTGTAAAGCTAAGGTGTTGTGATCAAAGGTAAGGCTTGTGTATGCAGACACATGTTGTGTGGGTGCTGTTTGTGGCATATGGACATGTACTTCGCCTATTGATTGTACATACATGTAGTGGGAAGTCATACACCATAACACGTGTACAGAGCCATGTGCATGTGTAAGCATAGTCAGTTCAATACAGTTCAAAAGTTCAGATTTCAGTTCAGATTTCAATGTGTGATATAATGTAGAAAAGGGAGAAAGGCGTCGTCATAACCAACATACATGTGTATGTACCATGTAGAGACACATACACAATAGCAATGTATGGTGAGATATCTGACAGGCTAAGCTCATGGCGTAACACATGCACATGTACTAAGTTTAAAGTCCATAAACTCTTACTTAGAGTCTGGAATATAGCTCTAAGAGATTTAGAGAGTCTGTGTATCGTCCAATGAGATTGCATGCTCCGGTAAAAACTGTTAGACCGACTGGTAAAACCTGTTAGACTGTGGTCTGAGTGTTGTCTGCCATTGTATTACACAGAGTGGTGAGTGGAACGGTAGGAACCGGAGTCAGACTGATACCTTCGCCGCCCCTCCCATCCCGATCCCCGCCCCCCGACACCCTCACCCCATCACCTCCCCCTCCCACACCCTCACCGCACCCCCCGCGGGGGCACTCACCGACATGGACAGGTCCCTCCTGCCACCTCTGCCTGGGGAGCCTCATGCCACGTGAGAGAGTTTTACTGCATTCCTTCTATACCCCAATACTCTAGTAAGACAGAAAGCCTACTACATGGCTAAACCCTCCTAAACTCTTTCCTTTACTGCATGCTGCATTGAAGAGGAAAAGTCACTGTACTGGCAAGAGTTTTTGAGCAAATCTGACTAGAGTTTTCGAGCAAATCAAACTAGAGTTTTAGCTATGAATCATTGTCCAAAGAATCAGACACCCTTACCATTAGCTATGTTCTGTGTACGTTTGATTGATGATTGGTTTGTCTTGGTTTCAGTGGCTGGAGAACGGCTGCTGGCTATCCCCATGACAGGAGAGGACACACCATGCCTCGTGAGCCCTCCCCCCTCCCCCCCTCTCTCTCTCTCTCTCTCTCTCCTCTCATCTACCAAAGTTTATCCAGAACTTTTTGTAGGCTCTAACGTTATCGAATTGGATTTGGGTCTCCACCGATTTGTCCTTTCTTCCAAAGACTCATCGCGAGCATAAAATCCATTTCTATCTTTGCAGAGAAAGCAATGCAACGCTGTGAATCTAGTCTCAACACTGTTAATAAGTATCATGCTGAGCCCCATTCTCTCTCCATTATACCAGGAGGAGCGTCAGAGAGTCCAAAGGTGAACGGTCGCTGGTCCCCTGAGCCGAGACTCCCCGGCCATCACGGCTCGGCTCTGGGTCACGGTGACGACATGCCTCCTCCACTGCCTGTCAAACAGAAGAAGAGAGTGTGAGTCCAGCTGTATGTAACTCTCTCTGCTGTAAGCCTCAGCTGTTCACAAAGTTATGTTCTATAGCATGTAGGATTGTTGTGATGTTTCGCACATATGGTACCGGTTGCCTTGGTATCGCTCATAGACCACTCATAGACCGCCATGTAGCTTGTAGTGCAGGAATAGCCGCAGACAAATCGACACACACACACAGACCAAGTGCTGTAACCCTCGCTTTTCTTACGTGCCGAGGGTTAAGTGTCTGAAAAATGTTCGGAGTGTGCATATTAAGGTTTGCCCTTTCTTTCTCAAATCACAGGAACCAACAGGTCAACGGCCAACCTCCAAGGGTAAGATTTAATTAACACACATCTTCACACAACACTGCCTTACACACAGCGATGCAATGACGATCCACACAACACTGCCTTACACACAGCGATGTAATGACGATCCACACAACACTGCCTTACACACAGCGATGCAATGACGATCCACACAACACTGCCTTACACACAGCGATGTAATGACGATCACTATATGTAAATTTTCCCTCCTTGTTCCATCCGTCCAGCCTTAATTCTCTCATTATTCTTCTCTTTGTCCTCCCCCCTCAGCCTCCTATAAGGAGAGAAAACTATGACGATGTACCTCCTCCGCTGCCAATGAAACAAAGGAAAGGAGTTGGCACCACCTCTCCTCCGACCTCCACCCCTGGACCCAGCCCGTCGCACTCTAGCAGCAGTGGTGAGTGAGAGGAGGGAGGGGGAGGGGGAGGGGGAAGAGAGAAAGGAGGGAGTGAGATAGGAGGTAGAGAGGGAGGGAAGGAGAGAAAGAGGAGAGAGGAAGAAGGTAGAGAGGGAGAGAAGGAGAGAAAGAGGAGAGAGGAAGAAGGTAGAGAGGGAGGGAAGGAGAGAAAGAGGAGAGAGGAAGAAGGGAGAGAGGGAGAAGGAGAGGCAAAAGAGAAAGGGAAGAAATGTGATGGAGGATGTAAGAAGTAAGGGAGAGGGATGCAAAGGGGTGGGAGTTGGCAGTAAATTGAACAATTACAAAAAACTTCACACGTTCTCACCAATTACCCCGAACTCGTACAGTGACTTGATAGAATCTTAATACATTATCATCCCACACGGGAGTTTGTAAGACTTTACTTATGCTGCCTGCTTTATGGGATAATTGAAACTGCCAGAAGCAATGCAGGTGTGTGCACGTATACTAGTACAAACCATGCATGTTGCTAAACACAAGCTCTTTTCCTTTCATGTTGGAGCATAAATACAGCGGTCTAACATACCCTTTAGTCACTTGCTGTGTTTGAGCCCTCTATGGAGTAGGGAGTATATATAGGTAGTGTAGAAAGAGACTGCTATAGTGGAAGGTTGGATAGGAAAGGGTAGATAGAGAAGGGTGGTTGAAGGAGGATATCGAGGTGGTGGTAAAATGGCTCAGCTGAGAGGCAAACTGAGGTGGAGCCACAGCAACAGCCGTCATTCCAAGTCAAAGAGTTCGAGTTCGCTTCTCAGTGACTCTCAGAATGGTTTGTGTCTCTATTGTAGTCTTGCTGCACTTTGTATAGATTGGTCCTAGTCCTTATGAGCTGATGTGGTGGGGCAAAAAGGATGTGTCTCTATCACTATGTATTTACTTGTATTACAGACATGCTAGCAGGTTGAGTATGTTTCCTGCGAAAATAGCAACTCGAGAGGACCAACAGTCATTTTACAATCTAAACTTGTTGGTTAGCTACATAGGCATACTGCATATGTACTGCTAATGCTTATGTCACAAAATGTGTATGTCGTTGCATTCTTTTGCGTGTGTCACATGATTGTCACGTGATGTGTACCTCCAGAGGGGGACCGACCTCCGATGGTACCAGTCAGACTGGATTCCATCATCCCACGTGGAGCCCTGCACAACGAGGCCGCGCCCCCCAAACCTCCTCGCTCTGACCGACCTGCTTCCATGGACCAACTGGTATGTCCCATTGCATATACACCACATAGGCAAAAACTTTATTGGGAGAATGGCACGAGTAGTAATTAAAGTAGAAGCCCCTGTAATCCAGACACCAAAGGAAGTAAGGTGTCCTTTTTTCATCGCAAAATGCATGAAAAAACTGCTGTGGTTCCCTGTTAGCTGGGTGTGTCTCCATTTGCAGGGGTTCCTTAGAGACTGTAGTGAGATATGACGGTTGTTTTTCTCATTAGCCACAGCCCACCAGTAACGAAGTGGTATCCGCCATTCGTGCCGTGAGGAGATACAACGAGGACCTGATGAAGGGGCAAGCAGAAACGGGGGGAGAGGAAAAAGCGCCACCCATCCCCCTGAAGAAGAAAACTGGTAAGTGGGGGTTAGGTTCCCTCTCTCCCTCTCTCTCTCTACGTTCTCCCTTCTACACTCTGTCCTTCTTAAACTCCTTCATTCTCCACCCCCCTTCTCTCCCTCTCTCCCTCTCCAATATTATGTTTTCCCCCTCTGTAGCTCTCTCATGTTTCATTCTATCCTCCTACCTCTCTTCTTCCATCTCTTCCTCTCCCACTATTCATGCCGCCTAACTCTTTATTTTGCCTTACTTCAACCCTCCATCTCTCCCTCCTTCACTGCAGTCATGTTGTACAAGGAGATAGTGAAGGGTTACCATTTCGACGACACGCTGATGCAGCCTCTCTACATCCCCATGGCCGAGTGTGGGCCACCTGCCCTGCCTCCAAAGAAGAGAAAGAGTCGAAGACAGGTCCGTACCTATAGGCCTTCATATGCCGTGAAACTCTTTGTATGTATGTTGGCTTGTGTAACCCCACTAACCCATCCAGCAATGGGACAGAGGATGGTAGAGAATGTATGTATCTGGTGTACTTGATAATGGCAAGTACATATGCTCTATTCGCGCGCCCATTACATGCTTATTAGTCAATCTGATCGGATATTTTCTGTGAATTAGAGCCCTGCATATAGAATGCTATTGGCAAGGGACAGCAATGCTAAAACAAGGACTTTCTGCTGAGTAATGTGTGTGTATGGGTTTGTGAACAGGCTGTTTAGACAGAACTGGTTATAGTTTTCTTGGATCGCAAACACCAGAGTGTATGTGTTGTGTATGTCTCCAGTGCCGTCTGTGCGGCGCAGGAGGGACGTTAGCAGCACTCGGGAGTCAGTCGACCAAAAGGAGCTCAGCGATGACCAGCGGTCGTTCTGTGGCCTCAGCGTGTGGGACCTGGCGTAAGAGAGAGGGAGCGAGGAGGGGAGGGAGAGAGTGGGAGAGAGAGAGATGGAAAACAGAAGAGGAAGGGAGAGGAAGAGAGCATAGTGAGGGAGGGAGGGAAGGAGGGGAAGCAGGAGGGAGTACCACCGCCGAAAGCTACTGTGTGTTGTACATGTTCGTGTTGTTTGCAAGGCTTTTGCCTACTAAGCCAGAGGGCGCAACAGCGCATTGCCACTGTTGTCCTAATTTCAATGGCTTCACCACACACTTTCAATTCACCAATGCATGTTTGAAAAACACAGCATGTCCACATATCGCACATGCTATAGAAAAAGTTATCCCCAGAGACAGAGACGCTGCTATAAAACAGGGATAACTGGGAAGTTGTCTCTTGCGTACTAGCACATGCTAACCCTGTGGAAAGCGAAGTCTCCTTACAACGCTTGCGACTAACTCTAGATCGACAAATTACACACATCTTGAGGCTGCCCACGGAGACACTAGTCAGGATCACTGTACTCTGACTCGCTAACATTATACACATCACTGGTTCAAGCTTGAGATGTTGCACAATACCTCGATGTGGGTGTGAAAACGATACCTTGACCCCTCTATCGGCGGACACGGGATGACTACAGATGCTCGGAGGACATCAACTAACTGGATCTGCTAGAGGGTAGTTTTAGTTAGTTGTGAGTTTATGTAGTTTTGTTTTAGTTTGTTTTTAGTAGTCGAGGACACTTGCTGGCTCTCGATTTCCACTCCACAGGAGATACGCGGTAGGGGTATATAAGGTCACGCCCATCACCACACACACACTTGCTTCATATATACATATCCTCAGTCACCTATCCTGCGACACAGGCATATACAGACATTCCCTCTGTTGTACTTTGTTGCCTTTATTTTACAACCACCCATTACAAAATGTGCACTTATGCACATCATGTGTCTATACTCGGCTGTTGGTCTACTATAATTATTATATATATTACATTGTATTGAGCTGTCGCATTTAAAGGAATGTGGTAGGATATTCGCTAAATTTAGAAATGTACTACAAATGGAACTTAATTGGCATGCTTCCACTGTGCCCTTGGTTTATATCTTAGTAACACTTCTAACTTAGCCATGTGCCACATTCCTGTAAAAACCGCATTATGAAGTGCGTGGCATGGATAGCTTGTGTATAGATGTTGAGTATGTTACTGTAGTGGTTCTCAGGATGGCGGATACATACACTCAGAGGAGTCTCCATGATGCTCTATCGCATATGCTGCCTCCACCACTAGTGCCGCGTGTGTATTAGCTAGTTATATCCTATATGATGTGCAGAGTACGTGTATCATATGAGTGTCCTCTGTGAGTTTTTCCAATGATATGTGTTGTTGTGTGGGTTCCACAGTCAAGCAGTTCACTGAAGCCTTCTACTGACCTACTACACATTCATCACTCCCGAGAATCTTCTCTAAACTTATCTCTCGGTACGTACACGATGTATGTGTGCATGTGTGGGATGTTGCTGCCTATCTGCCCCATTACACACTACTGTACTGCCAGATCGTCGAGTGTATTAACCTTATTATGTACACAAATCGTGGTAGTATAAGCCTTAGGCGTCGGTTCCTACCGGAGAATCGTTGGCGGTGACAATTTGTTGCGTGAGTGTTGGTGATTACAGGTTTGTTGTTGTGTTTGGTGATTGTGTACCATGTGTCCCATCCATCGATGCAGGTTGTAACCTTTCTACAAGCAGGGAAAAACAAGCCGGTTGGTGGGACAGCCACCATCAGTTTGTTGGTCCGTTTCTCAACAATCTCAAGTTAGTGAATACTATTGCTCTATACCAACGCCGGAGCGCTGCTTGTAACCCATCACTATTAATCCCTAAATTTCGGGGTATCTACTAACTGCCTAACTAATGTGGAAGTAAACGGTCGAGGTGTTGGGTAGTGGCATTAATTTTGTTGGCCCTGTTGGAAGTCGTTTGTTCAAAAAGGCGTGTTTTATTTTTGTCCCGTTTGGGAAGGTTTTGTGTATTCCAGTTTCCCTGTAAATGTTTTCATGAACTTCTGGATATGATTGTCATGCTCTCTCCCCCACGGCAGTCAACCTCGGTCCAAGAGGCCGAGGTCGAGTGAGACTGCCTTTGAAATGGTCCACCAGATGCTCTCGGACGGAAACCTCAAAGTTTGCACAGCTCTGCTCCGGTAATGCCCTAGGTCACCAAGGGTCTGGTTGAAACACACGTACACACAACACACACGCACGGCTACACACGCACGCTATGCACACAACACGAATGAGGCCGTCGACACTAGAAACCTTGTAGTGACAAATGGCCAGGTAGAATTAAAATCAGCTCTAACTTGTACCGGGTCTAGCAACATGTTGCAACGAAATATACATGGTCAACTTTGTGCTTGCAACAAAAGTTGACTCGTGCAAGTTCCAGAAGGAGGGATATAGTACAACGGGTAGTCAATGGTGGGATTCACGATAAATGGGAAAATTTTTCTTGCAGCCACAGTTGGCTTGCACTGTGGCCTCACGAGAGCAGGAGGATACATGTGGTAAATTTGTTGAGCGTGTCACTGGAGTGGGTATGCATTATGGTGTTTGTCGTCGTCGACAGTTTGATATCAGTTGATTACTTTCAACAAGCTAAACTGCTCCACTTGTGGGGGACCCCGGATTCAAGGTCAAAGTGAGAGTCCACTCAACAGAATCACTAACTGTTGTACATATACCAGTATGCCGTGGTTATACTATAACCATAGGCTAAACAGTGGAACCTGCACACCACAAAGGGGACACTATGGGGTGCCAAACCCTTGTAGAGGAGTCGTACCTATCTCGGGAGGTCAAATAATAAGAATAGGGTTGTTTTGAAAACAAGTGCCTTTGGTGTAGAGAGTGGGTCTCGGGGGTCCTATCTGGGGGTTTCCATCTTGTACACCATTGACTTCCCATTAGAAATGTATGGGTCAGTAATTCCTAGGTATGTGTACGTATAACTATAAAACCGTTTGCAAATCCTTAACAAACAAATGCCGGGTAAGTCCAGGTGAGTGGCACAGTTAAACCAAAGATTATTTTGAGGTTGTTTTTTATGAACATATGGACAGGTTGACTACAGTGTAAGCAAAAATACACTGCTTGGGATGGCTCATTCTTCGTCTGTCTTTGTCCCTCGACACATACATGTTCATCTGTTGCTACAGTCGCTGCAAGTTTTTGAGAGTGAAGGGATGATTCATGTCCTCCTGAGGAGATTGGAGATTGACCCGGCTAAAATGGATGTTCTGGACAACGAACCTTCCGAGAAAAGTCGACGGAGCAAATCACAACCTAACTACACACCCCCTGAAAAAGTCATTAATGCGCTGTGCACTATCTCTCTCTATCCTCCTGTCCCTGGTCTCCAACAAACAACTCATCCACTGGTCTATGTGTTGTGGTGCAAAATGGAACGTGGTCTAAAAAACACACTCCAAATGTGTTGCAGCACTTGAGTGCTGTGCATTACGGGTATAACCTTTTCATTAGATGTAACGTACAAATATCTTGATCATTACCTTCCCCTCCTCCATCCTTCTACGTGTGCTTGAAGGTTTGTATGAGATGCTGTACGGGGGATAAGGGGCAGACATGAGGAGAAGAGTCCAATCGCTCACGAAAGTTCAAAAGCACTTCAACAGAAGTTCTCGCAATGGTACGTACAATCACCAAGTTACGGTTAGTTTGTAATTCGTATATAGGGATGGGTGATGTACTGTCTGCACGTTATATAGCTTAATACTGTAGGCGCTGGAGAGCCCCGCTGATGCGATGGGGACGTGCCAGGGAAATGTAGTGATTGTCAAGAGGGCCTGGGAACAACGTATCCGTGTTGGGGGCAAGGAGAAATATCTGTAGTTATGCCAACGATTCTTTTAACATCAATGTTCGACATTGCATGTCATGGCTCCTGGCGGGCAGTGCGATCTGTGCTTTAGAGGCCGAACGTATAATAATATGGGTAAATGTACTAGTCCTAGATTACAACGTCAAATGATCACGGCTCCTGATGAAGTGTGGAATCGGCTTTAGGACCGAACGATACTAATATATGGCCATGGTATAGTTATTATCAAGCTGTCACAGCATCAGGGCTCCTGCTGCGTGTGAATTGGTTTAGACGCAAACGCATAATAATTATTGTACCTAGTACCAGTTCTTGCGGGTCTGTCTGGCCAGGCCCAAGGACTAGGGATACTGGAGGAGAGAGGGTGGGATTATATGGAGTTCCGCGTGAGAAAACCGAAATCCACTGTGTTTGCGGAATATGAAACAGGTCGATGATA